GTTTGAAAGTCGTAAGAGAAACTGTCAATTTGGCATTTGATGGTTAATCTCGAGGATGAACTCTAGAAGCGGGTGAGAAAAAAAAAAATAGTTGGACTCAAAGAAACACGCATTGCGGCAACAAAATTCTGCGATCAAGCACCTCCAATGAAATATCAGATCGGGGAAACAAAATAATTTAAAATCAAGAAGAAATAGTTTAAATCAACGTCAAGTTCTCTTCTCGATAAAATTATTACTTCCTGCAATCATATATGATTCAGGTAACAATGTATGTGTCAACTATATATATTCGTTTCAGTCAACTAATCTTGGTTCTCGTTGTCAGGGCAGGGGTCCTTTTTTTGCGAGGAGGTTGCGTTAGAGACGAGGGTCGGTCCGGTGCCGGAACGTGTCGGTCGGTTGCCGGACGCACCCGGGAGCTGGAACCGCTCTCTTTTGGGCGGAGGGCAGAGAGCCGCGCGTGTCCCGGAAAAGCGAGGACGCAGGCGCGCAGGCGCGGAATCCGGGTGGAAAAGCGGGCGGCAGCTCACTACGCCCGGGACGGTAGGGCAGGCTCGAGCCACCGCCACCTCCGCCGCTCTCGACGATCCGCTGCGGACTATCCGGACTCGCGAATCGTCCGAGTCCTGGCTCGCTAGCCCGCTCGCCCGCGCGTATCGGCGATGCCCGAACGGTTCACGTGAAGACTCTCGCCGCCGCCGGGGATGCGCGACTAGCGCCCGGGACCAAGGAGCTTCAGGACCTCCAGGACCCCCGGGACCTCCGCCGACCCCCGACTCGACATGGCGCAGTCCGAGAAGACCTCCGTCGAGGCCGGTACGATCGCACCTAAACACCCTCTACCCTTCTCCCAGATAAGGATAGGGATAGGGATCGCCCGATCGGGAGACCACTCTCTTTCTCGATAGAGATCGACTTTTCGCGAGATTTCTTATACATGGGGACATGTTGAGAGAGTATGCGGAGATATGTTGGGAGACATGGGGAATAGGACGCGACGCTCTGGGGGAAAATCTTCAGTTTTCTGGGGAGATTCCTTCGTGGAAATATGTCAAGGGACTCCTCCGTGAATTAAATTCCGAGAGACTCCGGGGAGAAATGTCGCGAGACGCCGGAGATATCGGGATTTCCTCGGTGGGAAAATTTTGAGAGATCCCTTCGTAATAGGAAAGATTTCGCGAGGCTCCGAAAATGTCGCGATTTTTCCCGGTTGGAGAATTTTCAGAGGATTCCTCCGGGAAGGGAAAGTGTCGCGAGACTCCTTCGCGGGAAAATTTGTTGAGACTTCTCCGTGCAGGGAAAATATCGCGAGACATTTCACCAAGGAAAAGTATCGCGAGATTCCTCCGTGCAGGAAAATTGTTGCGAGACACCTCGGTGTAGGATAAATGCTGCGGGACTTCTGCGCGGAAAAATGTCGCGAGTCTCTTGCATGAAAAAAAAAAAAAAAAAAAAAAAATACCGCAAGGCTCTGATTTCCTCGACGAGTCCTCCGGCTCGAGGCCAGCCGCGGAATCGAAGACTCGTTGCGTCAGTTCGTGGTCCGATCGACGCGACCATCTTCCTAGGCGCCGGACGCGCATAAAAAAGAGCCGCTCGGAAAATTGCATAAAAAATGAGTGCGCACACGACACGAGTTGCGCTCCCGTGGCCTCTCATTAGGCGCCCGTAAAACGAGCCGCTCTCTCGTTAAGCGGACCGTCGGCGACGGCGCCGATGCCGCCGACGCCTCCGCTCCTTTTTCCCGGGGAAAAAAATTGCTCCACCTTTCCCGGGTCGAATGCGGGGGCGACCCGACCTGCGTTTCTCGAGCACCCTCGTCCTTCTTCAGGGTGTTTACTCTCTCGATCGCAAGAAATTCTGGTCATCCTTGGGAAATTCCGATTTGATGCGCAGCTTGAATGAATTTCTAAAATTCTGAAGCAATTATTAAAAGGGGTAGAGAAAATTGTAGAGACGTCGTAGTGGAGCTCTAATGTCGCGATCGAGTTACAAGGAAGAGGAGGAAAAGGGAAATACCTAAAGTATGAAAGAGCGACGTAGGGGTAGTCATGGTTGACTTTTCCTCGAAGGATGTCTCTTAATTCCTGTATTATTTCGACGAAGAGGCGAACGATGAATTGATTAATATATGAGAGTACGTCATCCTAAGAGAAAGTATTGATAAAGGTTACCGTCAACTGTGAGATAAGCGCCAGTTCTCGGAGACATGCGACGTACAAGTGCTTTGATTAAATTCCAATTTCACGATTTGTGAAGTTATTCTTTCCGAGTGCGATTCTATATCTCACTCTTTTTTCACGGTAATAGTGACGACGGTTTAAGCAGAATGCTCTTCTCCTCGGTCAAGTAATAACAGGATTCCTTTGAATTTTTAATTTCAGTCTCTTTTATGGAAATATACAAGTACTTGAACCAAGTCGCAGCTCCACGATTTACAAAGTTATTCTTTCCGACTCTGTATATCATAACCTCTTTTCTCCGTACTAATGGTAACAATTCAAAGTGATCGCTATTCTTCTCGGCCAAGTAGTCGTGGAATCTCTTTGATTTTTTAGTTCGAGCCTCTTTCATGGAAATACTCAAGTACTTGGATTAAATCCCAACTCCACGATTCGTCAAGTTATTCTTTCCGACTCTGTACATCATAACCTCTTTTCACCGCGCTAGTGGTAACGTTTTTGGGTTAACCCTATTCTCCTTGGTCGCGCGAGAGTGGGAAATTTCTTTGAATTTTTAATTCTAGTCTCTCTTTCATGGAAATGTAGCGCTCTTTGTCGGAGAGCTTTCAGCGGGGATCGATTCGCCAGGGCAATAGAATAGAACATTCCCACAATCGAGTACCGGAGTGCCTCTGCATTCGAATTGCAGAGATTTCGAGAGGTTTCGAGGGAGAGGCGAGCACTCGAAAAGGTTGCCCACCGGGCAACCCTCGAGCCCGTCCGCAGCCTCTTTCTCGAGGTCCACTCGTCTTTTGGCAACCCCGACACCTCGCGAGGTCGCCCGAACCTGCCGATTTCTTTACCGACCTGGTTCCCCCAGGTGCCCTATTCACCCCCAGGCGGCCGATTCGTTACTTTTTTATCTTTTTCCCAATTAAAGGGGGCTCGCTTCGCGGTCCATCAACCTGCACCCCTTGCGTCTCTCTCCCTCTCTCGCGGATCTCGCAGAATTCGAGAGAAACGAGAAAATCTGCCCTCAATTGTCACCGCTGCTCGTTCGCCGGGTTTATTTATTCGGTTTTATTATCACCCGGCATGCATTTATATGAGGAATGTGGGAAATCGGGGAAATATAGGGAAAAATAGCCGGCCTTTAACTGCAAAGCGCTGATAAACCCCCCAGATTTTATAAGAAACGGTTCATCACATCGGAGCAACGAGCGATCGGAAAAGCGTATTTCGATAAGAGTTATATATACATATTCAATGGAACGAAATAGAAAATACGGAAATTAGAGTAAAAGTGGAGAGGAGGCGGCAACGTGACGTTTTATGCGCAAGGAATTCATTCATTATGTCTGATTGTTTATCAAAAAGTAGCCATGTTAGCTAACCGACCAATGACGTTTTTAACAAATTCCAAGATGGCGGTGTTTGAGAAGGCGGAAAATGAGTGAAAAATAAGATATCCGTGGAAGGTCATCTGTTTGCACCATGGTCCATATCTACACGGGGAAAGATCTCCTTTGCAATTTGCATTTGATTTGTATGAAATGTGATAAAATGTAGCTCTAGGAGCCGTATATCCATGGTGTAGCTAATTTTATGGCTGTATGCCCCATCCCCTTACTCCGGACCCGTAATTCTATACCGAGTTTTCAGAACGCCGAGCATCATCCGATCTCTCGAAAATTCGACGTTTGACACAACTTGGCAGAACCTGGTGATATCCCGAGACCGCTTATTTTTATTCGCCGCGAGTTTCGCATAGGTTATGCAGTCGGAAATGCCATGGGAGAAAATGTCAAGGTTCCCCGGGAGTCCGGGGACTCTCGGGAGCTGGTCTCGAAAAGTCGGCCGGTTTTCCGTCGACGTCGCCGCGTCCGGGTTTCCAGGGATATTGGAAGTGTCCTCCGGTTCGACGAGAGTCCCGGAAGTATCGGAAATATCCACCGACGGGGGCGTCGGGGAGACCTCGAGAGGGAAGCAGAAAACTCGGGAGTTTTGCCTCCTCATCTCCCGGGGGCGCGTTTCCGTCACCGAGATAGAGCCGACTCCCGAATCAAGTAATCAAGACGGGTAATCGGCCGAACGATCGAAACTTTTAAGCACGACGCCACGAAACCCGCTCTCGAGACTCTTCGCGGTGGAAGTTCGAGCGCGCGATAAGCTGAGAGGTTATGTGCGCTCCTGTATCGAGGCCGGTTTCGGGAACGTGAACTAAATAATTCTTAACGACCAGGTCTCTCCTCTATTCATCTTCGCAGTTCGGGCAGGAAGTAATTAACTGTATAATTAATTCATGAAAATTGCGGTACTCGCGTAGATATACTTGCGAGATATACACGAGGGCCTTCTCTGCAATTCGGTGTCGCCGGTTCGTAACGAGTAGGCATCGAGTCCCCCGGTAAATCGGAGTCAGATAACTTAAAAAAAAATGCCCCATTTCCTTACGGGATTTTTATTACCACTCAAATTTCTATTTCTCAATTATAGTCATTGAAAGAGCATGTTTCTAATCTCTTTCCTCCTGAAATAAGTGGACCTTTGACGTAGTGGAAAAAAAATCCCCTCGTGATTGCTGGATGTGCTTCCATTAGCGACATGACGAGTCCCATGTCCCATTTGATTTCAAGTCGTTAAATTCGACTCGTCATTTTCCGAGTCGTTTACTCGTGGACTCGGCTCCAGTTACTCGAATATAGCCGAGATAGAGTACTAGTCACGTCGCTAATCTCTATGGCTCGCTCCTGCGCGTTATTTCCTCAAACGTACGAAGTTTCGTACGACTGCGATTTGCGATCTCTCTCGAATGTCCGTTCTTTCATTTTTCAGGCCATGAAGGCGGCGCTGGCGGGGACGGCGAGCCCATCGTGGGCTCGAACTCGGAGAAGAGCAGCAAATATGAGACCAACCTGTATCTGTTCAGCGTGAGTATCCCGGAGCGTTCTGGCGAGCGTTGGCCGGGCGCGTTAATTCCGGAGAGGCGGTGGATAAAAAAGCGGGAAAATTGGCGCGGAGAGACTCGAGGCCTTCGCCGCTAACGAATTCGGCCTCGGCCGTCCTCCACCCCCGAAGGTTCTCCCCTCGAGGGTCCCCGAGAGGAACCTTCGAAACGCGGCGTTTCCCTTCAACGACAATTAAGCGTGCCCACTCGGGCCGGGTTCTTGGTCTCGGCCGCGGCCGTTTTAACGAAGGGCCTCTCTCTCTCTCTCTCTCTCTCCTCGCCCCGAGAGGTTCCGCCTTTCGCTCCACTTTCTTATCTACCCGACCTTGACACCCTCGCCCCTAGAGGAGCATTTTCTGGGGTCCGGGCGTCGCTCTCGTCGACCTCTCTCAGGGCTCGATCGAACCAGGCCCAAGAGTGGCGGCGAGAAAAAATCGGTCTTGGTCTTGATCTCCCAAAAAATACGAGACTCGAGGAAGCAAGACCAAAAATTGAGTTTGCAAGACCAAGGGCCGATTGCCCCAACCGTGATTAGTGTGGGGTTTCTTACCTATAATCAGTTAGTATTGAATTAGTGCAATTCGTTTATCGTACCGATAAAAATTAAGCTGATCGGAGATTAAAATCCATTGTTTGATTACCCCCTAAAGTCGGGTGATTGACTGTAATCACGCGTTAAGTAATCCTTGATCAAGGATTTTATCTCGAATGTCGGTGCAACCGGCCCTTAGATTCAATATGCAATACCAACATCAGAAGCAACTCTGACAAAGGTGTACAAAGCATGCCAACCTTGGAGAAATGCATGATTTACTTTCAAAGTCTCTACAGTCATGCTATCATTTTTTTTTTTAAGTTACGTTTTGTGGGTGTCGAGAACTTCCTTATAGCATCCATATTCGCGTTGTAAAGTTTAAAACGATTCGACACACCTAGATCGGGGAAAAGTTTCATAAACGAGGCCAATCAAATGCTACTTTCATATCACCTTAACCGTTTGAGTCCTAGGGGGTATTGAAAAAACACTGTCGAAGAATCCGACTCTCGAACAGCGCAACCGCGCTTTCTCTAAATGAGTACGAGAAGACCCAAGCAGCGCGATAGCGCTTTGTTTATTTTATGTCGATGAATCCCACTCGGCGCGATAGCGTTTCTTGAATTGTAAGATGTATTGTTTACATTAACCCCTTGCGTTACGATTTAAATTCCAATAGCGCATGCCATAAACAACAAAAGTGTCGGTCATACATCGGGCCATTTCACGGTTTGGCTGAACGTAACTTCTCATACGTTTTGTTTACATTTGGCCCGATTGACATACCACGTCTCTCACACGTTTTGTTCATGTTTTGGCCCGATTGATTTATCACGTCTCTCACCCGATATTGTAAGTTAAGAAGTTAAAAGAAGGAGCTGTGTAATGTACTTGGGTCAGTGAATCTGAGCGCGCGACTTTGACAATCGGTGACGCACCGTCAGTTGTCCACAACGTTCGAAATGTGCTGGGTTTTCTCGACATAAAATCTGAACAGCGCGATCGCGTTGCCTGGAACTCAAACGGTTAAGCATTCGACCTTAGCTACGTTCGTCAAAAAGTTCACTTCGCTCGTTATTCGAGGTCCGCTAGGATGCCGCACCCTAAAAATGCATTTCACAGGACGACCTGGACGACCGGCCTCGCATTACGACGTTGCTGGACAATCTCAGGAACTACAGCAACACCATTCCGGCCGCGACCGACCCCGACAGCAAACCAGCCCAGGGTGCGGGAGCCCCAGGGGCGAGGATGGGCACCCTCATCGGTGTCTTCCTGCCCTGTATCCAGAACATCTTCGGGGTCATCCTCTTCATCCGGTTGACTTGGGTCGTCGGAACCGCGGGTGCCATCCAGGGCTTCTTCATCGTCCTCTGCTGTTGCTGCGTCGTGAGTAGCTCGTCGATTCGAAGGACTTGCCGCACATAGGAGTATTCGCCCTGAAAACTGGGCCAAAATAATTTTCTGAACTCAATGGCCCCTAAAGAAGAGTAATTGACAATTTATGCAATTTAAATATGATTTCATGCACACCCTGTAATTAAAAAGCCCTATTTATTGTTCCTACGTAAGGAACAAAAGTATATGTATACCCTAAGAAAACAAGTTGACTAAAAAAAATGTCAGATTGAGTAAACAGAATTATTTTAAATCAACAACAAATAGCTTAAAGCAACGTCAATTTTTCTTCTTAACATAATAATTGTTTCTTACGATTATGTAAATACAACTTTAAAAAATTGACTTATAGCCAAGCTTTTATAGTAAATACTCCTATGTGCGCCGAGTCGATGGACTGAATGATCATCCGGTTATTCATGGCTCTTTTCTTTTTGCAGACGATGCTGACGGCCATCAGTATGAGCGCCATCGCCACCAATGGGGTGGTCCCTGCCGGTGGGTCCTACTTCATGATATCGAGAAGTTTGGGTCCCGAATTTGGCGGGGCGGTCGGCATGCTCTTCTACACGGGGACCACCCTGGCCGCCGCCATGTACATCATCGGAGCTGTCGAAATCGTCCTGGTAGGTCGAGTCCTTCTGGTTTTTCTGGTTTTCCTTTCGATGCCGCTTCTGGTGGCGTTTCCTAGACTAGAGCGAGTCGGCCTTGCTCCAACGACTCATCGGTCGACCCTGAAGAGCGATAGTCGAGTCATTACGCGTTACCTTTGACGAGCGCCGCCATTACTCACCACCTTGCGATCTGATTCCTTCCAGACGTACATGGCGCCTTCGCTGAGTATATTCGGCGACTTCACCAAGGATGCGAACATCATGTACAACAATTTTCGCGTCTACGGCACGGGGTTGCTCATGGTCATGGGAACAATCGTCTTCGTGGGGGTGAAGTTCGTCAACAAGTTCGCCACCGTCGCCCTGGCCTGCGTCATCCTCTCCATATTAGCGGTCTACATCGGACTCTTTGTCAATTTCAACGGGAACGACTCGCTCAAGTAAGCCACCCTTCATGCAGAAAATATATTCATTGTCGACAACGAGTGAAGGATTTTATAAGGGGACGCGTTTCCGGCAGAATGTGCGTGCTCGGCCGAAGATTGCTGAAGGACCTCGACGTGTTGAAGGACTGCAACAAGAACACTACTGGATACTTGCACAGTCTCTATTGCGCCAACGGAACCGGTGCTTGCGACCCGTACTACATGGAGAATAACCTGACCATTGTCAATGGCATCCGCGGACTGGCCAGCGGCGTCTTCCTAGGTAAGTTCGAGGACGTTTGACCCTGAAAAAGCGGTCACAGGGTCGCGTCGCGTCGACGGCCTGTCTCGTTAGTATTGTAAGGGCATGGGCAATTGCAACGTTCGCAGAAAATATTCTGGACAGCTTTCAAGAGGAAGGGCAGTTCATCTCCTACGGCCACGACCCGAAGGACGTCGACAAGCTGTCCATGCCCTCGTACAATCAGATCCAGGCGGACATCACTACGTCGTTCACCATCCTGATCGGGATCTTCTTTCCGTCCGTAACCGGTTAGTCGATTACTCCAAACAAAGAGTTCATACCCTGAGAAAAAAAAATGTTATTGAGACGAAGAAACATTTAATTGAATAGTACCAAAAAAGTATCTTGTCAATTCACAGAATAATTGTTTGGATCAAATAACTTGGCATCCATCTTGGAGAAAAGTTTTGAAAATATTATGATGCTTTGTTATATCTAGAGCCTTTGATCGGGGTTTCACGGCTCAATCCATGTTAGTTAGATAAAACATGCATATTTTATCGTTCTTCAGGCATCATGGCGGGCTCCAACCGTTCCGGTGACCTGGCAGATGCACAGAAGTCGATCCCGATTGGGACGATCTGCGCCATCCTGACGACCTCGACAGTGTACCTGTCGACGGTGTTACTCTTCGCCGGCACCGTGGATAACCTCCTGTTGCGCGACAAGTTCGGTCAGAGCATCGGAGGAAAGTTGGTAGTGGCGAACATCGCCTGGCCGAACCAATGGGTGATCCTGATCGGGTCCTTCCTGTCGACCCTGGGCGCAGGTTTGCAATCTCTAACGGGAGCACCAAGACTGCTCCAGGCCATCGCCCGGGACGCCATAATCCCGTTTCTGCGTCCGTTCGCCAAGAGTTCGTCCCGTGGGGAACCCACCAGGGCCCTGCTTCTTACCGTGGTCATCTGCCAGTGCGGCATTCTGCTGGGGAACGTCGACTACCTGGCGCCACTGTTGTCAATGTTCTTCTTGATGTGCTACGGATTCGTAAACCTGGCCTGCGCCGTGCAGACGTTGCTGCGCACCCCCAACTGGAGACCCCGTTTCCACTACTACCATTGGAGTCTTTCCTTCCTCGGGCTGGCCCTCTGCATCGCGATCATGTTCATGACCAGCTGGTACTACGCCCTGCTCGCCATGGGCATGGCGGGCCTCATCTACAAGTACATCGAGTACCGAGGTGCCGAGAAGGAGTGGGGTGACGGCATTAGCGGTCTCGCTCTATCGGCTGCTCGTTACTCCTTGTTGCGCCTCGAAGAGGGTCCCCCGCACACCAAGAACTGGCGGCCCCAGATCCTCCTCCTGGCCGAACTCGACACCGACCTGGCTCCGAAGTATCGCAAGCTTTTCGCCTTCGCCAGCCAGCTGAAAGCTGGCAAGGGCCTTGCCATCTGCATCAGCTGCATAGCCGGGGATTATACCCGTAATTCCGGGGAGGCCACCGCTGCCAAGCAGAATCTACGCAACACCATGGCCGAGGAAAAGGTCAAGGGCTTCTGCGACGTCCTTGTGGCTGCGGACGTCGTCCTCGGGCTTAGCACTATTGTCCAGACCATTGGACTGGGAGGCATGAAGCCGAACACCGTCATCCTGGGCTGGCCGTATCGGTGGAGGCAGTCCGAGGACGAACGCAATTGGAGGGTCTTCCTTCAAGCCGTCAGGACCGTCGCCGCGGCCAGGATGGCCCTTCTCGTCCCCAAGGGCATCAACTTCTTCCCAGACTCCTCGGAGAAGGTCGTCGGCAACATCGACGTCTGGTGGATCGTCCACGACGGCGGCCTTCTCATGCTGCTGCCCTTCCTCCTCAAGCAACACCGCACCTGGAAGAACTGCAAGATGCGGATCTTCACCGTCGCCCAGATGGAGGACAACTCCATTCAGATGAAGAAGGACCTGAAGAAATTCCTCTATGATCTCAGGATAGAGGCCGAGGTCGAGGTCGTCGAAATGGTAGACTATTTTAGTACCTAAATTTATTTATAAATATTTTGAACATTTTTTTTTGGATAAAAGTTTTATAAATATTTTCACGTTTTGATATATACAGAATGACCCTTTCATGACACATTAAGTGTAATAATAATTTTGGCCAAGTTTTCATGACGACTACTCTTATGTGGAGCGAGACGTTTATCCTTTTTTCGGCGGGATTTCAGATGAACTCCGACATCTCCGCCTACACGTACGAGCGGACCTTGATGATGGAACAGAGGAACCAGATGCTGCGCGAGCTGCGACTGAACAAGAAGGAGTCCCTCGGCGTGGTGAGTATCCTGACCTGGTGAACTCGCTTCCTGCCCTGCGCTCTTTTATCCTCCTCTAGCGCCGCCGATGACGGACCAACCGACGATACTGATCGCTATCTGTCTGTTTGTTGCGTGCCACGGATAAGGTGCAGACGTTGGCGAGCTTCAACGAGGTACCCGCCAAGAGAAAGCCTTGCCTCCGGTTTGTCGGATGAACCCGAGAATCCAGATCCCGTGCATACCCTGAAGAGATCGCCAAACGATCGCCGGTCGATCGCCTCTTTCGATGCTGGTCTATGAGGTTTAATCCTTTACGGGGCTTGATCCTCGTTTATGAACCGCGTTATCGGAGGCGATCGATCGACGTTCAGCGATCGACTCGCGCGTCAGCTTCGTCTTCATCGTCTCGTCCTCAGCTTCGTGTTGCGATCTCGGATCGTGACGAGTCTCATAGTCGAGTTTGCGTAGCGATCATCGCTTTCCCACCGCTTCCAGTCGAGCGGTTATTCACTCAGGAAATCACGTATTTTAGTGTTCGAAGTCACGTGAAGATCAGCTGGAAATCGCAAGCAGAAATCAATGGAAATCATTGAAAGTCACCGAAACATGGTCGCAATTTTAAGACCGAACGCCCCTTGATATCGAATCGCATTGCTGTTTACCGTAAAATATCAAAGACAATCGGCTCTCAAAGAAGGAAATCGTTTTCACGGTTTTCTGAGTAAATAACCTCTCGCTTCCAGTCCAACTTCCAGAGCACGTTTCGCGGAATGTTCATCCCAAAGAGCTTATAGAAACGAAGGAGTGGCGTGTAAGAAAGAAGTTATGTGGAATTCAGTGAAACCTCCTTCGCACCCTTGAACGTATACACGTGGGATAGCAATATCTCCTCCATTCCTATAAGCTGTATGGTTCACCTCCTCCCTGCTTCTCCCCGACTCGATTCATAATTTCGGTCCATTGACACGGACGATAAAAGATCGTCTCGCGTTATCAATGGTCCCGGTCGGTCCTAACGAGAGCCCTTAGGTTGGTCTCCTAGAGGCCGAGGAAACTACTCAAAATTAATACTTTCCTCGTGGCGCAGGTGCAAGCCATCGTGGACCACCACCACAACGTGGACGCGAAGACGGCCACGAAGGTGAGATTTCAGGAACCCGGGAGCGCGCAACAGCCCAACGGTGCCGAAGATGCCCAGGAAGAGGCAACTCCTGAGGCCGAGGTCAAGGAAACCGACGAGAGGGAGACCTCAGAAAAATCCACCGAAGAGAAGGAGGTCCCGGACGAGGAGTCGAAGCTGATCGACGACGCCGCCAAGCAGGACAACAAAGAGAACAGCGACAAGGAGGCCAAGGAGGACGACGAACGGGAGGCGAAGGCCGATGGTACCGACGAGCAGAAGCCGGTGCAGATAACCCCGTGAGTTGTCTCCATTCCATAGTCTCCATTAAGGTGATATCAAAATGGCATCAAATAGGTCTCGTTTATGAAAGTTTTCATTGAACTGGATGTACCGAATCGTTTCAAACTTCACGTCGTGAACATGGAGGCTATAAAAAAGTCCTGGCACCCATAAAATTTCAATTGTTTAAAAAGCTGTTTATACATGTTTTAAACATTTTTTTATACAAAGAATGAAATCTCATGACCTTCCTTATAGACTCCGTATTCGCCTGGTAAAGTTTGAAATGATGCGATATGCCCAGTTCGGAGAAAAGTTTCATAAACGAGGCCAATCAAGTGCCACTTTCATATCACCTTAATGGCTCTCAAATCATCCTCGATGATTCATGAAGGAGGATCCAACACTTCGGTTCTTATTTCAGCGACGAGGGCAACGTTAGACGCATGCACACGGCGGTTAAGCTGAACGAGGTGATCGTGAACAAAAGTCACGACGCCCAGCTGGTGATACTCAACCTGCCAGGACCTCCCAGAGACACGGCGATGGAGCGAGAGGCGAATTGTATCCTTTTCGTCGTCATTACATCTATAGCCAGGGTTAATCGGATTTAAATTATAATTTTTTAAACAGTCCGAGTATTACACAGCGTGATCGCATTGTTCGCGCTGTCATATCGGAAAGCTAAGAATTAAACGTAGCTTAGGTGTCGTAATGTTTAAACGGAAGTTGTAATTCAGATGTTTCTTAATCGCTCAGTCTATATTCCTAATAATTGAACGCGCAATTCGTACAAAGGGAACATTTTATTCGATATTAAATCGTATTTTTACCAGTTGAAGTATTGTTAAGTAGAAGAAGAATTCCTTAACGAGCGCTTCGATAGATATGGAATTCTTGGAAGTCCTCACCGAGGGGCTGGAAAGAGTGCTGATGGTGAGGGGAGGCGGCCGCGAAGTGATCACCATCTACTCGTGAACTGGACGAAGACGAAGCGACCGGAAGGCCGGGAAAAGTCCAGAATCCGGTCCCATCCTCGACGGCCTGCACCGCTACTCTTCGGCCGCCTGCGCCCACCTCGGATCCCTCGTGTCCTACGGGACGTCCGGTCGTTTTTTTGAGTCCTTAGGACTCTTAGGACTCTTAGGACTCTCAGGAGTCCGAAGACGTCTCATCGAGTCCCTCGAACTCCCAGGAACCTGCGGACGTCTTCTCGGGTACCTCGAACTCCTAGGAACCTACGGACGTCTCTTCGATTTCCTCGGACCCTTGGGAACCTGTGGACGTCTCTTCGGGTCTCTCGGACTCTCGGAACCTGCGGACGTCCCCCGACCGCGGCGCGGCCAGTGGGCGGCGCGATGAAATTCCACTGAAGCCAACTTACCTTCTGGACCCCGAGGGGCCTCCGCGGCCTCGCCGCGGTCTGCCAAAGTGACGTGCCAAAGGATAAGTTAACTTTAAGCGAATTTCATTAGCGGGGCGCGTAGTCGTACACGACGCGGCAAACTAGTTCGATCACGGCGTCAAGTCCAGCGGTAAGCTCGTCTCTCCTTATCTACCGTCACGTCGCTTATCATTTCGCCATCAACGCGACTTTTCAACCGATGTCCACCTCGCGATGCGAGATACACCCGCGTACATGTGCATTCACACATGCGTACCCACGCATTCACCCCCGCGTACTCGTGCATTCACACCACACGCGCGCGCCCACACACACACACACACACACATACCCACACACACACCATATTCGCGCGTTCGAGAACCTCACCCCGAAAGCGAAATCAAAATTTGGTCCGAGGCTAAGGTCGAAGCATCTACGAAACCACTGCCAAGAGAATACTTTCTAAATGCTTCGCGTTTATCCGAAGACGCAGAGGCTCGTTTTTCTACATGCATCGTCGGTAGGAGTTAATAACGTAATTCTATTTACGGTCACCGCCGGAAAGTCAACACCTTGTCTCCAACACCGTACCGCACTCGGGACGGCGCTGTTTCGAATGCTTCCCGGTCGGCGACGACCTCCTCTAGGACGCCATTTGAGATTTATATAAAACTAAGTGGAATGCAATGCCCTGATAAAAATGCCCATGTAAATTTACATACTCAATCGTTGGTTATTTCGATGCCAGGATAAATTCCAGTAAAATTACGGTATCTTTGCAATATCACATTCGTCGTTTTAGTTCAGGTGATATGAAAGGGTTGTTCTATACAAATCAAATCGTGAAAATATTTATAAAACTTTTCTTCAAATTGGGTGGACCGAGTAATTTGAATTTTATCACCTGAAGGTGAAGAAAATTATAACGTGATGTTACACTCAATTCAAGTAAAAATTCACTAATACGGTGAATGTACGATGTTTCGTGTATTTATACATTTTCTCATTTCTAATCTTTCCATATTACGTTTTTCTGCGTGAAACTTCAGTTACAAGGTGGGTAAAGATTGAATGGAAATTTCTATGGATTTTTATCAGTGCAGAGACACGTGGACAGATACGAAAATGACGGGAATCGCGGAAGTCGCGACGTGACTGGAGAACGACGCCATCTTGGAAGCACTCCGGGTAGATGACTTTACTCAAGTTTTAGGCAAACGTGACATCAACCGTAGCTCTCGGTAGCCATTACCGAACCCACCACGCTGAGTCGTTCAGTCGGGGCCTAGGTTTTTCTCGGTGTACCTCCACCTACCGCTGCTAGTAACCACTAGTTATGCCTAACGCCATACTCGTGGGGGACTCTTATCGATTAAGGTAGCTTAGGGTAGCGCGCTAGAAAGTCGATGTCTCGGTTAGCTCGGTAAGTACGAAAAGTCGGTCTCGAAACGTCTCCACCTGTCCCTGATGAACCGCATTTCATTAAGGTGTTATGAAAGTGTAATATATGTACATCAAAAAGTCAAAATATTGATAAAACTTCTCCAAATCGTGTGCATCGAATAATTTAAAACTTCAACGCGGGATTACGGAGGTCCTAATGGAGGTCTCGAAACTCGCGAAATTTAATATCTCGAAGAACGAAATCTCGCGAGTTTCGAAACCTCCGTTAGGATCTCCACAATCGCGGCTTGATATTTCAAATTATTCGGTGCCCCCATTTTGGAGAAAAGTTTCATCGATATTTTGATGTTTCGATGCATGTAGTGTGACCCATTTCATATCACCTTAAGGTCTGGTTCCACAACTCGAGTTAACCGAAGTTTAACGGGCTTACTCGCAGTTTGCACCTGTTAAACTGACTAAACTCTGGTTAATTCGAGTTATGGAACCGCGCCTAAGAGTTAAATTTTCGGTTACAAAAATTGAACGAGAAGTTTCTCGTTTAAGTTGGCTCGGCGGGGAGCGAGTCCCGCGCCGAAGTCGTCCGTTTTCTTTCCCGGATTAACCCAGTTGTGTTACGTTTTTCTTCTTTTATATATATATTTCTTTTCCCCCTTTCAACTACTCGGCATCGATCGGAATCAACCGAAGTGCGCCCGCTCGGACTCGATTATTTCTTTCGCGGTTTCCTTCCTTCCCCTTTCCCCCCGGCGCAGAGGAAAAAGTAGGATGCACCTCGCGATTCGGTGCGCGTCATCATCCATTGTAGATAGGTATCGTATATTCAACTTTCTCGAATAAGCGAATGGGGGAAGAGTTTTTAACAGGAATAAATCTCCCGCGCGACAAAGGTTTAGTATATCCAGTTAATTCTAGACTAGAGCGTAATCGGTGTCAGTGAGCGAGGCGGAATTAAAGTCTTGGTAAAGTTAGAGGGTCACCGCGTATCGACGACCGCCCGATATTCTGAAAGTTCAAGTGCCGCTATTTCTCGGCTCCTATATATATATCTCTCTCTCTCTCTCTCGTCCCGCTCCCTTTCTGCCCGAAAGGGGAAGAAAGTCGAGCGGCGTCCTCGTCCGCGCGTTCGGGCGACTCGTTTCTCTCGATCCTGGATTTCGGAGCACTCGTGGGAAATTTGCCGTGAAACGCCGCGCGGCCGACGCCATCTTGGTTTTCCGCGACGCCAAGTTTTTGCGCCTCGAAGCGGAAGTTAAAAATAAGAAAAAAAATCTCGCGACTTCACCGAGAACTGAACATTGTTTTTAATTAAACCTCGAAATCCCGTCAACCGGAGGCGACGAACTCCGAGATTCTCATTTGAAAATTATCGACTCATCATTCACGTTCCCCCACGAAGGAAAGAGGGGAATTAACGTCGAACATGCATGAAACGTCGAAAACACGACCGCCACGATTCAACTCGACAAATTCTTTAATCGGGCGATCAGCCATGGCCACTTAACGAGAACAAAACGAAGTATTCACGTGCTGGATTAGACTAGGATATATAACTGTAGTTTTACAAATAATTACCTTACAGTCCGACGTGTTACGAAGTGTATTTTATAATTTTACTATGTTAATTACTAATTATATATATATATACACACACACGTATGTATATATATATGAATATATATTTTATGAGTACTTACCTATGTAATAGGGATTGGCACTGCATAGTTTATATGAGACACGTTGACTATGAGAAAGTTTATTGCGAAGGACCGTTCTTTGGATTAAGTTGCTAGCGCAGGTTGTACATACAAAAAGGTATAGTCGGTAAAAGTCAGAGACACTTGTTAATTAATTAATGATTTGACTGTGGCGATAAGTTGTATCATTTCGAACGACTAAGTGAATATGTATCGCAAGGATGAATTTGATAAAAGAGCGTGCAGAGAAAATGGCGAACCGTATCCAATGGCTCGCAAGCTTTCTTGTGCGTGCTCACGTTGAACTCACTCTGGGACCTTTGACTCGGTTGTTTTGGGTTTTCGCCAAAGAAAAGTAAGGAAAATATGCACAATTTCGCGCCCACCGCACGGCGACAGGAATTATCCGAGGAAAATGCGCTCGGATGTCGAGACCTTTCGCTTTTTGATTTCCGCTTTAGTCAGTAAGACGTGCGTTTCGTTGGTTGGAATCACCTCTAGGCTGTGAGACGCGAGCTAAACAGAAATAGAGACTTGCTCGAGAACCTCAATCGTATGTGTCAAATCAAGTAATTATACATGTAATGCACCTATAACCGATTCTACACTTACGAGGGGCCTTTGAGGCTTGAGAAATAAGAAAAAATAAATCCGAACGAGGGTGAGCGGTCGTTTCTTCATAACTCGGGATCTCCAAGGGAAAACGAAAAAAAAAAAAAACGTATGAAATATGTTAAAGGACGGATGACCACTCTTTCGGGAATTCGCCGGCACGAAACGCGCGAAGAGATGAATCAGAGAGCGCTGCGAGATATTCGTCGGATCCAAGTAAAGGATTTGTAGATAAACACTTTTAGTCATCTAACTAGGAAGCAGAATCGATACTGTGAAATACCTACCCGTAACACGTAGCTGCTAGGCGATAATACTTGTAATTGACTTATAAATGATGAACTTTAATGAGAGAAGTTTACGGTGCGAGTAAAGTGATTAAACAAATAAACGATATGTCTGGAAGGGGCGTCTTGGTATTAATTTCCTATCGACTCGACGCTCAAAGAGTGTAGAACGGAATATGGGGGACAGTCTGCAAAATATATTCTCACAATCTTATAATTTAATAACAATTAATACATCATGATCTCTTAACCGTAAACAGTTAGTGTAAATCACTAGATCGTCACTAGGGAGCTTATAAAGCTCCGTCGTTAGTATTATGCTAGTGTTCCCATGATTTAATCCTCTAGTGCTTCTTAATCTCAAGGTGATACGAAGCCGTCGTCGTTTCGCATTGCCTTGAAGTACGGAGCCGCACTTTAGTCCAGCTATTCTATTAAGAAAGTGCTCGGATAAAATATAAAATCAACAATTATACAGTATCTCAAATAAATTGCTGAAATGTTTCGTCACGTTTCATTATCAGTCTCCGATTAGATGACAAGATCAGATGATTCGTTCACCTTAATATTTTGGCACAGAAAACTGCTACTGCCTACGAGTCAAAAAGACTTTTTCGAGTTGTGTACATTAAATCAGCAACATCAAACGCTATACCATGGTCCAATTATTGTTCTTATTGTAATGAAACGTGATTATGTGAGTAGTTTTTGACACCTTGTTGTACATCTTAGTAAGAATTATACCAAATGCTCGTGGCATGTTTGGTCGAACTTTAACAGTCATTACCTAGTCAGAGACTCCTCTGTAACTGCGACCCAAGGAATGTCTCGCATTAACAATGGATACTATTTATCTCTTTTTTTGTCATACCTTTTGGATGTAGGTACATTCGGCTATTTGTCTTGCTATCGCAGGATATTAAAAGAGCCGTTTCTCGTACGAAAATAGGCCATGTACATTGCCTTCTTGCTGTGCCGAATGAGTTCTCCGTTCGAATTTCAGTTCACCGCTGTACATCATTTCTCTTAAAGCCGACATAGATCTTGCTCCGATGTCTTGGCATCCATGCTTAATACCACATTGAAGATAAGGTACAAATTTTAGGATAGTTCCTTTATCGACTATCGACCCACTCACACCTTGTGCTACCTTTAATTTATCCATTTCATTGTGGAAATATCTATCCATGGCCGAGCCTTTGGCGTCTTCTCGATTCATTGCCTCCAGAGATCCCATTCCTCTATACTTCTTGAGACGAACTCCATCGCTGAAGAAATATTCACCTGGAGCTTCTGAAGTTCCAGCTAGTAGAGATCCCATCATAACCGTGCTAGCTCCTAAGCTAAGACCTTTGATGATGTGTCCTATAGATTGAATTCCACCATCCGCTATGATAGGTATTCCAAATCTTCTGGCATATTCGGATACTTTGTATACCGCTGTAGCTTGAGGTCGACCCACTGCCATTACTTCTTGAGTAATGCAAATCGAACCTGAGCCCATACCTACTCGCAAACCATCTGCACCTGCAGCAATTAGATTTTTGGCCTGTGTGGCAGTTACAACATTACCCGCTATAACCTGAAGTTCAGGATATTTGGATTTTACATATTTTATCATGTCAATTTGATATTTGGAGTTTCCTTGAGATGAATCTAGAACGATTACGTCAACACCTGCTTGAGCTAATAATTGCAATCTGTGTTTGTCACCATTTCTTGTACCAATGGCTGCTCCAACCAATAATTGCTTGTTTTCATCTTTACTGGCATTAGGATAACTCCGATTTTTCTTTAAATCCGTTCTAGCCATTAAAGAAACAAGTTCATCCTTTTCATTGACAATAGGCAGTTTTCCCTTTTTGGACTTCTCCAAGATAACATTAGCCTCTTGCAAAGTAACTCCAGATGTTGCCGTGATGAGATCCTCTCGTTTAGTCATCACAGAATCCAACTTAAGATTGAGCTGATTAGGGGAATCCTCCAGGAAATCGATGTCTCTAGAAGTGACAATGCCAACCAACTTTCCTCCCACTTTGCCAGTTTCTGTGATAGGAACTCCACAAAATCCATGCTCAGCTTTGATGTTAAGTACATCTCCGACAGTGTGATTAGGAGAAAGTACAATGGGATCTCGAATGAAACCGTGCTTATACTTTTTAACCTAAAAGTAAAAGATTGAACTTACTAATAGCCTGTTAAATAATTTGAAAAAGTAGATCCCCTTGGAATCGAACTGATCAAATCAATCGCTACCTTGTGCACCTCGTTGGCCTGATATTCTGGAGAACAATTATGATGTATAATGCCGATACCACCGCACAGTGCCATGGCTATTGCCATATCGGATTCGGTGACAGTATCCATGGGAGAAGAAACCAATGGTGCTTTCAAACTGATTTTCTTAGTCAACGGGGACACGAGGTCGACCTCATCGGCAGTGAAATCGATGTAGCCAGGAAGAATGATAAAATCATTGTACGTCAATCCATCGCCGGTTGCAAATAATTGTGCAGCCGAATAACCATCTTCCGGCAAAGTGGTATCAACAAGCGTGGAATTACCGGTGACGCTGTCTGCCATTTTTCCTTGATATCTCAATTATTTAAGTACAACTCTTCTCTTACCCTCTCGTACTTCCTTAAAGAGGCGAGGAATTAGACGATTAATTGAATTACAACCAACGGGAGCGGAACGTGCAGGGTTTCAACCCGACAAAGTTGTGAACGGTCCCTTGGCAAGGCAGTCAGAGGTTAACACGTGGTGCTTCCTTAGACCATATATATCTAGACCATCTACACCTCGCATTGGACCTCCCACTACCAGCCTATCAGTAAGCAAAATGGCTTTAACTGTGTGGGTGAGTCGTCGAGACACGTGGTGCTTGCATGCAGAGATCAGAGATGAGGTGGGAACAGAGATGAGTTGGGAGATTGCTCACGGAAGGGATCGTGCGATCGCATCCTGTGCTGCCCTCTGGTTTCGTACGTTAGCTTTCACTGTTTTTTGCCCCCAAGGGCGGCGCAACGAATTTATGATAAGAACTCGCGCACTGGCAATGGCGGTACCATCTACCAGTCGCCGTTGGCGGCTCAGGTACATACATACGGCCAGTGTGAGTGAGCGAGCTGTTATCATAAATTCGTTGCGCCGCCCTTGGGAGCAAAAAACGGTGAAAGCTAACGTACGAAACCAGAGGGCAGCACAGGATGCGATCGCACGATCCTGCCCGTGAGCAATCTCCCAACTCATCTCTGCCACTGCTATATGCGAGGTCTAGATATTTATGGCCTAAGGGTGCCTCGCCGCGGAACATAATCCCTAACCTACATAGACTCACCGTAGATATTTTATTTTCCTTTGCTAGTATTCGCAAAAAATAGTTCATGTAGGAGGCGCTGCGATATAAAGCAACACCTTCGGACTTACCACTGAGGATTCACCTTTTACCTGACAGTAACTTCTATAACTTTCGAATGAATCATTGACGCTTTCCATGAATCATCGGTAATATCCCAAAAACAAAGAAATACAGTTCGAACCTCTTCCTGACTTTGACGTAGAATCCCCGTGGCCTGTGACGACTCTAAACATCGAAAGGTTACTTTCTCGCGGAGTCCCTGCAAGTACGAGAACTGTCCGTCATAACCTCACTTATTTCCGTTATCGTAATTTATTGGTCTTTTTATTTGAAAAATTCATACGTCGCGCAGATGATTTTCCCGGATGACAATCGGCACAGAAGATGGGTCGGTAAAGCAGGGCACCGGCTTAACGGCGTCGGATGTTATGGCGTCCTTCCTTATCTCGGGGAGTTTGGCGGCAACTTTCAAAACCACGATGGCGCCGTTCGAGAGGATTCGCCTGATCCTGCAGACCCAAGCGGAGAGTCGACAGTTGTCCAGAGGATTTCGAGCCGCGTATTCGGGCTCATTGGACGCACTGATGCGAATTCCAAAAGAACAGGGTCTATCCTCTATGTGGCGTGGAAATTTCACGAACATCTGCCGATATTTTCCAACCCAGGCCATCAACTTCGCGCTGTACGACGTTTATTTTCACTTGCTGGTGAGTCACTTTCGGCCGGACAATATCGCGACACGAGATGTGCTCTCTTTCCTGGCCGGAGGCAGCGTGGGCGTCACTTCCTGTGGCATTTTGTATCCTCTCACTTTCTGCACGACTCGCCTCGCCGTCGACCTTGGAGACGGCAAGTTCATCAAGAGAGAGTTCAATGGCCTCTTCGACTGCTTCCGCAAGGTGTTGAAGACCGACGGTCTTCGAGGGTTCTACCAAGGCTTGGCGTGCTCGCTCCTCGGTACCTTCCTGTACAGGTGCATTGTTAAATATATTTTAGTAGAGAAACGCAAAATGGAAAAGTGACTAATTAGAAAATATATAAATACACTTGAAATTTAATATTTGCCGTATTAGTGCATTTTTATTTGAATTCAATGTAATACTACATTATAATTTCAGATATGAGGTGTGTAGAAATGCATGTAAATTTACATGGGCATTTTCATCAGCATAGTCAGACGAATTATATTTACCGGGAAAATTAATTAATGTCCGTGTTTCTTGGCAGGGCAACCTACTTCGGTTTCTTCACATCAGGAAAAAGGATTCTGCTCAGTGATTACGCCTACGAGCCGGATACTCACGCAACGAAAGCACCCGTTGCTCTTTCGTTGCTGGTTGCCCAAGCATCATCGAGCACAGCGATTTTGATAGCATATCCCTTTGATACGGTCGCTAGGCAAAGCATGCTCCACAGTGGCCAGGAATCGCCGCAATATATGTCGCTGAGAAAAATGGTAATGCCTAATTGAAAACGAGAAGAAGTGATTACTTTCTCTCCTACTACTCATTATTATTTTTTATTACTACTACTCATTATTACCTCCTTTATTACTACTACTCATTATTACCTCCTTCGTAGACCACGAAAGTAATGAGGCGAGAAGGTGTAGCGGGTTTTTACAGAGGAGTGTGCACCAACATGGTAACCGCTATGACTGGCTCTTTTCTACTTGTTTCTTACGACGTTGTCATGGAATATTATTACAATAACGTAACTACAAAGGTACCACTTAGAAGTCCAATTGAGCGGAGCCTGCCTTAACTTCTGAATTTTCTCCGCAGGAAAGACACTGGATAGAAGCGGAAAGTAAACGACAAACGTAGAACTATGTACTGCTGTTGTGCAATTTCGTCTTCAATGTTAATCAACCAGGAGATAATACATTTAAAAATGCGGCAAGGTCGTTCGGGAATTCGTTATTTTGCTGCGCTGTTCCTGTATAGATTATAGAAGTAATTAAGAGCGAGATGATTAACGAGAACGAAAAATGGCAAATACTGGAAGGAAAAAATCGAGGCGTTCGGTGCTGGTCCAGCTAACAGCTGTTCGTTGATGAAGTGTGGCATTCTTAGCAGCTTTCTCCACGTGCCACCTACACGGACGTATCTTTGCTCCCCACTTGTTCCACCGTCAAACCGGTTGAGTAATACCGCACAAAGTCGAGCATGTCGAGATCGCGTAAATGAGATAAAAGTAGTGTGTACAGTAGCTCACACGACTGCTCTAAAAATCGCCACATTGCGCCTGTAATCAACCGATCTAAACAGTGTTAAGTAAACTGTGATTTTCCGTGGGTCAAACTCGTGTTAATAATGGTTCTCGAGAAGTTGGGCAATAAGAACTCGGTAACTTCAACGAACGAACTGAGCGTGGCTATGTCTCGAGCAAGTCTTTCGGTGGGTGCCGATAACGAAGTGACAAATGACGCGACAGATGTCAAAAGAGACTTCGAGATGGCGATTAGAAGAAACAAATCCACCGGGCATTTGCCGAGTGCAAATTTCGTGGAAATGAAAATTCTTGTACTCTACACGGGTGGCACTATCGGCATGGTCAGAACCGAGAACGGAGGTAGCGCACAATTTTTTAATTTAAAATGCATATTGAGTCACGCAACTGATATGTATATCCGAATTGCAGTTTTGGCACCTCTTGCGAACGCTTTCGTGAAGAACCTGAGGACGTATCCTCAACTGCACGACCGCATTTATGCAGAAGAGAGATTCGGGGGTATGGGGCCGTTGGTCTTACCGTGAGTTGCCAGCAATTTATTCAGTCATCACCCTTGATTTATTTAAACCTACGATCAAGAACTATAAATTATGATTTTTTAGGATGGGCGCTACCGACAAAAGGCGAGTCATTTACAACGTGTTGGAATATTCGCCGCTTTGCGACTCCAGCACCATGACGATGGATCACTGGATTCGCATCGCCATGGACATTAAAGTATAGCTTTCATCTACTTAAATATGCATGACGAGACTTAGAAATTTAATTAATTTCAGGAATCGTATGTCCACTTCGACGGGTTCGTTGTTTTACACGGAACCGACACGATGTCTTACACGGCTTCAGCCCTTTCCTTCATGCTGGAATCTCTTGGAAAAACCGTCATCATAACGGGCTCTCAATTACCAATTTTCGAACCCAGAGGCGACGGAATAGGCAACTTTCTCACGTCATTGATGATTGCCGCGAGTTATGACATACCTGAAGTCTGCGTGTTCTTCGGCTCGAAGCTGATGCGTGGAAATCGAACATCGAAATTGTCCACAGCGTCTTTCGATGCTTTCCACTCACCTAATGCTCCGCTTCTAGCCACGGCAGAGATGCGGATACAAGGTTAACGAAGGCCTTAAGGTGATGTGAAAACATCACCTGAGGGATCTGGTTTATGAATCTTTTTTCCGAACTGGGTGTACCGAATAGTCTGAACTTTGATCACGTGAATATGAAAGCCTTAAGAAAGGCCTTGACACCCATAAAATTCCATTTTTATGAGACATAAGAAATGGTGTATAAAAAAATATATGTCAAAAATGAAATCTCAAGAGTGTCAGGACCTTATTTAGGGCCTCCATATTCACTTAGTAAAGTTTGAAAGGATTCAATGCATCCAGTTTGGAGAGAAGTTTCGCAAATCAGACTTCTTCGACGCCATTTTCATATCACCTTAATATCGCTCATAATTTTAATTATCGTGCGGTCAATTATTCAATTAACTATTCTTCCATACAGTCGACTATCGATCGATTTTCCGACCATGCACGTTAGAGAAGTTCCACGTCCACACAAGCCTCAACAGAAACGTCGGCCTTCTTCGATTATTCCCAGTCATTACTTCGTACTTGGTAAAGGCGTTCTTACAGCCTCCCATAGAAGGCGTGGTTCTGCAGTGCTATGGCGCTGGAAATGTGCCAGAAAACCGAGAAGACATTATAGCTGAACTCCGAACTGCCATCAAGCGTGGAGTCATCATCGTAAATATCACCCAATGCACGCAAGGAGGAGTTTCCAACATCTACGAAACTGGGAAGATTTTGTCCGATATTGGTAAGCCGTTAAGATGAAATGAAACCCCCCTCAAATCAGTCGCCTCGAATAAATCACATTTTTAAAGGGTATCAGATCGAACTGTCCGAAACTCTGACACGTGACTTGTAAACACTTGAGAATTGTCCTAACACATTCAAAATTTGAATTTTCGAAAAAAAAAATATTTCACAGCCTAGATCATAACCAAAATGGCGTTAAACCCTCATATTGTGGTAATGAAATTTCATCTTTAAAAAAATTCGAGAAATGTCCATAAACAAATTAAAAAAAAGAATTGAAATTTCATAGGTGTCAGCACCTTTCTTATAGTCTCTACATTTACATTGTAAGGTTTGAAAAGATCCAGCTGGATGTAAATGGATGTACTATTGCCAGCTTTTTTCAGGTGTGATTTCGGGATTTGACATGACGCCGGAGGCTGCTCTGACGAAACTGGCTTATGTCCTCTCTAAGCCTGACTGGGACTTGGAGACGAGACGCTCGATGATGCTGACGAACCTAAGGGGCGAATTCACAGAAACGTGTCCTCCATCCGTGAGAGAATCTGATCCTTTCCACACGATAGCGAGGTCTCTCCGCCTGACATCACCGAGCGAACTCCGAGAATTGGGCTCTATCCTGTTTCCTGCTATGCTGAATGCCGCCGCCGTAGCCCGCGATGTAGCCAAGCTCAAGATCCTGAGAAGCTATGTACGTCGAAGAGACCCATTGCAAAAACGAACTCGACTGCATACCAATGCTCGTGGTTGCGTTTTCAGGGCGCGGACGTTTCTCACGCTGACGCGGACGCACGTACTGTTCTGCACATCGCTTGCTCCGAGGGAGACGCAGAGATCGTGCGATGTCTCCTCGAGATGGGAGCAAATGTTCACACGAAGGACAAATTTGGTCGCACTCCACTCACCGATGCGGTTGAATTCGACCGACACGAAGTACTCGTGATTTAATTCGCCCATTAAGGCAATACGAAAGTGACATCTTAAGGGTCGATCGTTCATGAAACTTTTCTGCAAACATAATGTACCAAATCGTTTGGAGTTTTACCACATTTCATGTCATGTGAAAGCTATATTCAAGTACACCCGGTGCGGAGAAAAGTTTCATAAATGGAACCTCAAATGGCCCTTTCATGTCACCTTAAGGGTATGCAATTTAATATTAGTTAATTTGTTTCAGGTGATCGAAGTATTGCTGAAATGCGGTGCTCATCTGCACGGAAGCGCGCGTCTGATCGGGGAGAAAATGTGTTCTGCAGCTGCGGCAGGAAATTTGAAGCGACTTCGCTCTTATCATCTCGCAGGAGCAGATCTTTCGCAGGAAGACACTTCAGGAAGAACGGCGCTGCACTTAGCGGTGCTTCACGATCACGTACAGGTCGCTCAATTCCTGCTGGATCACTGTGCGGATCCGCAAGCTACGGATATGGTCGGCCACACGCCTTTCGATCTCGCCGAACTCGCAAAATCTGACGAATGCGCGAAATTATTAGAGATATCGACGATGAAATGTGGATGATTGAAGAAAACGATTTATTATAATATAAATAGTAAATTTATAACCTCTGTATTCCTGGATTATTGAATGTAGCCCAGCGTGAACGAGGTCTACAAGGGGTACGAGCGAATATCAGAGTTTCCCGAAATAATCGAGAATGTTGCTCAGGACCCTTGGAGTAATGAAGCAACCTGGATAAACGAGGGAACAGTCCCGGGTACCGTCTCGGCCAGCAGCAACGGCTTCCTGTATCATCGTGCCATTTGTCATCGCCTTGAACCACTCGTGGCTGTTGAGAGGTCATATCGCAAGGTAGAGTTTGTACAGAGCCATATCGGTAAGCCATAGTGACGTAAAAAAATGGATAACGACGGGAAAAAAAATTGATAACAACATAAAAATGAATAAATTCACACCTGGAGAGGCCGTCGATAACCTTCTCAGTGCTCGTAGGATTTTCCGCGCGAGTCGACATGGAGACGACGGAGCAGATAACGCGTTGCAGACATGGCGTTAAGTAACTATTGTCGAAGAGTACATCATTTGGAGAATTTCCAAACTGCCAGGAGTCCGACTTCTTCCCGGTACCTGGAACACACCTGCTGGCCTTTAGAGATCCGAGCTTGGAGACACCCCCGTGGTAATACTCTCCACTTACGGTAATGATACTCCGATTCTGACTTTGTTAGAAGAGGAACGACGATAGCGGCAAGTGCTGTCAACACTCCGGCGATCGATAGCGATTTGGGATTTACGTTTATCAGCGACGGCATTTCTCCAGGGCGCTGCTCCTCACTACCCAAGGGAATCGACAGAAAAGGGATGGAGAGGTCTAGATCGATCTGGAAGCGCAAAAGTTTTTCATCTCCTCTACTTGAAGAAGAGATTTTCAGCGTCCCTCGTAAACGAGAAGTACAGATTGGAATACGTGTACTTACGTCGATGTTTCCGCCCGTATCTTCGAAAGATATAAACCGGGACTTCGGTCGGGGTGCATCATACGATGCCTCTGCAGCTTGTTCAACATGGAAGAGGCTGAGTCCTAGCAGGAGAAACATGGCCGATGATTTCGACGATCCGGTTCCCCAGGCCACATCGTTCATCTCGTTGGATACTGCCGGAGCACGCGGATAAAATACACGACGTCTTTCAAAATTGATTAAATTGACAAGACGAATTAAAACTCACACTCGTCGACCTGGGAGTTATAACATTGAAGGACTTGGAGTTTAGTGTCGCAGGCGGTAACCAAGCAGTCTATGTATAACGTTAAGCCCACCCCCGAACTAAAAACACTCTACTCCCCACGTCGCCCCTAACGCGGATACTAATTTCGCGGAAAAAACTCATTACGCGTTGTCGCCGTACTTTACTCTATTAGTTGTAATTGCAGACGGGTGCAGGCGGCCAAAAGAAACGATTTCTCCACCCAAGTGCATCCTAAGAGGATGGAAGGGAAATTCTCTTTCCTGCGAATTTCGCGGCCTAATGTCCAGAACGAATTGCACTTTCGCGACATGTGCGGCTGGGAATCCTTTTTTATTTCACGCCTTAGAGCTACGGTGTTAAAAGCTTCCTTATAGAAAGGGAAACTAATTGTAATGGAATTTTTATTCCGCGTGAAATTAAAGGTAGAAAGGGAAATGTAGTAGGTAATCGGTTGCGCGTAGCGCCGTGAAATTCGTCAGTGAATGTCAGGATGGAGTTCCTAAATAACCGACGAGTGTTATTTTTTTCTTTCAACGGTTCTGACGGAGAAAATGTCAACAGCTCTGAGATCATTAGAGGGAAGAGAAGAGTGGTGAAACCTTTGAAAATTATCGCGGGCTCTGGCGCGTGGTCGAATTTTACTCTCTCCTGCGTTTACTTTGTCTGGCAAATTGAAATGCCCGTTACTGCACTATGCACACAATGGCGTTGACGAAACGTCGTCGCGTTAATTGGATATCTCTGCACAGATAGAAACGTGTGCCCTTATGGACTAAAAAGCTACTTGAAACGGATAGAATGTTCGAGAGAAACCTTGATAATTATGTAAGGTTCATTCAATTTGGAAGCGCCCACTATATGTATATATAAAAAGAAAAAGATAGTGCGTGAATTTTCGTCAATGGTCAAAGCGGCCATCTTGACTCTCTTTTAATTCAAATGTTTTTTTTTTCTCCTAATCGTTCATTGAGAGAAAATATCTTTTGACACACAAATGTATATCATTGACATGTATATTGTTCCCTGAATCACATATAATTGCAAGAAATAATTATTTTGTTGAGATGAAAAATTGACGTTGGTTTAAACGAATTTTGTTTACTCAATCTGACATTTCTTTGGACGCATTCGATCGCAGGGTTCTGTTGTCGCAATGCGCATTTCTTTCAGTCAACCAACTTTTTTTATCTCAGTGCTCTTGCTTACAATGCATCGAAACATTTGTGAAAATATTGTCGAAGAATAATTACGAAAGAAGTTATGAAACCGTTGTAAGTGTAAATCGCCTTGAATTGGCACGAGAAGAAAAGTCGTCGCGTCACGCGTCGGGAAATTCGTCCTCCGTAAATCCAACAATGAAAGCGAAACTTCGAGTCCAATTAGGTCCAGTCTTTGACCACGAAGAAGACACGTATGCTCGTATAAATTTGAGGAATCCACTCGCGTCCTTTCAGTCCGTGCAGAAAGCTTCGCGTCTTTTCATCCCGGAAGAACCTGAATCTACATCGACGAGGTACTTTATTAGTTTTACCTCGTCATCCCGAAGCGTGTATAAAAGTAACATTTAAGAAATTCCAAGCTGTTTTTCAGAAAATGTCGATCTGGCGCCGATTTGCCGTCTTTGCGACAGTTTGCATCGCCCTAGCCAATAGCAGTCCCAAATACGATATGGGAGGGTAAACAAAAGTTCATTGTTTAAAATTCTAGAATCTAAAACTGCCCTTAAGGGGATGTGAAAGTGGCATCTGAGGGGGCAGGCGTTTATGAAACTTTTCTCCGAACTGGGTGTAGCGAATCGTTTCAAGCTTTTCAACATAAATATGGAGGCTATAAGGAAGGTCCCGATATTCATGAAATCTCCATATTTTTTTAAAATTCTTATAGAAATTTTCAAATTAAAAAAAAAAACAAGAAATTTCATGAGTATTGGGACTTTCCTTACAGCCTTCATATTCACGTTGCAAAGTTTGAAACGATTAGGTATGCCGAGTTCGGAGAAAAGTTTCATGAACGAGACTTCTTTGACGCCACTTTGACATCAACTTAAGTTTGAATAAGTTTCGTCGCCTTAAGAATTTGCTTCCATTTATCTCGGTGCAGGTTCATCCCGAGTACCGGCGAATACTTGCAAAAATCGAGCAAAGCGCAAGATCAGCTCGCAATGGCAACGGAAACACGAAACGCCGAGGAGGCGCAATTAGCGACGAAACGAAATTCCGCCGAGACGAACGACATTTCCGACCGAAATCAAGAGCCCCGATTTGGATTCACGAACGTCGGTGGAACCGGCTCGGTTGGTAGAAACCCAATTTCAAATTACGCCAATTTGAGCCCAGGTTCAATCGAGCCGTGAAAAGGGCCGATCGTGCAGAGTTTCAATCAAGGAAATCGATTGCTTTAATTTAGGGGTACGGAGTATCTACTTACGCGCCCACGAAGATAGACCTGGGAGGCGTATTACTCGGCGCTATTATTGGAATTGGATCTATACTTGTCATCCCAAAACTGCTCTACATACTTTCCGGCTCTTATGGAGCTTATGCAAGAAGTGAGTGGTCGTCGTTACGGCATCTCGACGTAGAAAAAATCTTGCTTCATTGAACAAAATTGTTTGATTGGCTGCATTTCGTTACCTTAAGGAAATGTTTCGGTTAAATGCCCCAAATTATTTTAATAGTTGGCGTGATCTGGCACAACATCATGTGTAATCAACCGTCCATGTAATAATCATATTTTATGGTTGAACTAACAAAGCTTTTATTGGTTCAATATTTTTCTGCGTGTTAATGTTTGTACGAAAAGGAGGTAAATCTTTGAATATATGTTTAATCTTCGTATCTGACAAATTTTCAGGCGACGAGGGCGGATTGACTCAAGCCATGACCAGACTGGATGATGTATTGGCAAGAAATGGAATTGACACGACATCTTGCATGCAACGAGCTGTATGCACCTACGCCCAGGATGCCGCCCTGAGTACTCGAGAAAGCGACGACCTCGAAGGTGAAGAGGTCTCGTCTTTTGACAAAATGGTGAACGCGATCACGACGAATCAAGTTTTCAAGACCGCTATGCAAGGCACCGCCATCCAGGAAGCCGTGGAAGCAGGTCGAGGGGGACAAAAATGCTCGAAAGTTTACCCCCATTGTGGATTTTCTCTAGAGAGCACTTTGTCTCTTCTCGCAACTTTGGCGACATCCTTTTCAGCGCCCTCAAGGATCTCCTCGCCAGCCGCATCTTAGAACAGTTCCTTGTAATTCCGCCGACAACTTTAAACAGAAATAATTTAAAACGTCGGTGGAGAAGATATTTACACTACGATGCGTCGAATAGGGAATACGAACTTTCGTATACCTTGACTTGTACTGAATAAAGTACTAATTATTGTAATTGTTACGCCCGAAGTAGTCGTCGCTGTTCCTTCCACGCCCGGGTTTCCCTTTACTCGGGCCAAATATTATTTTCCCAGATTATTATTTGTTATTAAAGTGTCAAGAAAAAGAAGTAGACACAAGAGGGTAGGACCCTGTTTCGAAGTATATTTGTACAACCATATATACGCATTTATTGTACAGACTGCGTGTTCCTTTACACGAGCAGAGGATGGAGCACCAGTGCTACCATCGTGAGCAATTATCCACGATTTCTAGATCTACATACAATTATACAATTATCCTCTCCTCTCCGAATCTCGCCTCTAAGAATCTCTGCGAACACGATTCAACACAATCGCGAAATGCGTATGTACATTATTTATACAGCGAGAGTGCGACAGCATGTTTACCTACAAGTGCATCAAAATTACATTCGGAACTTAAGGTGATGTCGAAGTGACGTCAAAGATGTCTCGTTAATGAAACTTTTCTCCGAACTAAGGTTTCTGGATCAGTCTAAACTTTATAATGTCAATACGAAGGCTATAACAAAGATCCTGACAACCATGAAATTATAATGAAAAAAAAAATATGATTCATAAACATTTCTTAAATTCATTACAAAAAATGAAATTTCACTGATTTCAGGACCTTCATTACAGTCTGGACATTCACATTTTAAAGTTTTGAAACGATTTGGTACATTCAGTTCGGAGAAAAATTTCACGAACGATTGACCTCTCAGACCTCACTTTCACATCCCCTTAACAGTTAAAACTCGTTACCTATCAGCGAAAGCGAACAGGATCGAAAATACATTATTCTCGTAGAACGGGCCGCGAACTTTCCGTAACTTTTGTACTATTTCATGTATTCCCGTTTCGGCAGGAGGAGCATAACGCCCACGGCAACGCAGACGTGCCATAAGCTGTGAACAATGTAGTAGTTCTGCCGAGTCTGCAGGAAGGCGTAGGAGACGAGGCCGAGGGACACAAGGACGAGTCCAGCAGGAAGGAGGATGGACCGATAGGGAGTAGCAGGATACCGGAACGTGCCCTTGCGTTTGCACCTGAGGCCCCAAGAAACGGCGACGAGGGTGCAGCCCGTGACCGTAGGAGTAAGGAACACCCAGAGAGAGGTCCTGTCCAGCTCCGCACCCATGGCGAGGACCACTGCCCCCGTAATCTGGCAAAAGGAGGAGATCTTAGGACCAAGAGACGCCATGGCCACGAGGGTGAGCCAGATGGACAGTAAGGCGTTGAAGAAGTCGCAGAACTGGAGAACGGGCAGTCTCGTCACGCACAGGTGGTACACCTCTTCCCCAGACTCGCAAGCATGGTACAAGGTGGAGAACACCATAACGGCCGCATAAACCACCGCTTCGGTGTAGTACCTCCTTCTTACGGCAACGTAGATGGACCCGGCGAAGGCGAGGTTGCTGCACGTCAAGAGCACCAAGCTGACCAGGACGTCCGTCCTAGTGAGGACGTACTTGTCGTCCGCGCAATCGAACCCTCGATATCCTCCTGTACAGTGGCATGCAGAGAAGACGAAGCCTCCACTCATGTAGTGCACGCATCTGCCTCTGTTTTTGCAACGACCTTCTATGCAAGGCGAAGACGCCACGTTGGTCTCCACCCTAGCGGAACGCTCTTCGAGGCAGTCGCAGATCTTGCAGCCGTTCGTTAGGCATCCCTTGGTGCAGCTACAGTTCTTCCCGGTTGAAAATGCCTTCAAACTCAGGTGCCAGGTTCCTGGCTCCGGGTATGGGATGTGGACGAAGGCCGGCCCCGTCCCGTTGGCGAACACGTCGGGCGGTGAGACCATGTTCGTTCCTGGAAAGTAATATTTTTCCTTCAATTATCCACTCTTTTATACCGTCTTCGGGTCTTGACACCCATGAAACTGCAACTTTTTAACACATTTGTTTATAAACATTTTTTAATACTTATAAAAATTATAATTTTATAAGTCTCGGGACCTTTATTATAGCTACCATATTCACGTTGTAAAGTTTGAAACATTTCGGTACATTCGGTTCGGAGAAAAGTTTCATGAACAATTAACTCCTCGGAAGAGATTTTCACATCCCCTTAATGGGTTTCTTTTTCATTTCTTTACCTAGGCAACCACCGGTCGCCGTGATGCCGACGTAGGTCCCGAGAGAGACGCATCCAACCACGACGAGGTTCTTGTCATCCTTGGCCTCGCCGTTGTCCAGTTTCAATCCCACGGAAACGGTGCCTCCGACGTCGTAGACGGCTCCGACGTCGAATCGAAGGACGGAAAGAGTTCCCAGAGTGAGATTTAATGGAGAGGTCTTCGTGTCGTTACCCTCACGGTACTCGTAGTCGAAGAGGAAGAAGTCCGGCAAGGACTTCCTCATCAATACTATCGGATTTATCTCGGTTGCGTTCTCTGCTAGGTTTTCCGTTAAGGAGACGGATATACTGGTTGCGTTTCCAGACCGCAAACGGAGATTTAGGAAATGCGGAACTTTCGTGTGTGGCTTGAACGGAATCAAGGCATCAGTCGTGTTGATGGATCCATTGGTCAGGTGCTCGCTGGTGGTGATAATCACGTCGACGTTGCAAAGTTCACCGCAGGTTGAATTCAAGTTCATCACCGGCTCATTGTAAGTCAAGGGGACGAAAAATCGAACGACCGCCGTGTTGCTCGTGTCGTTCAATTCCAAGATTCTCGGATGTTCTCCGTCGTAAGTCAAGACCGAGTCAGCGAGCTCGACTTCTAGGTCGACGTCCAAGATCGTGTCACACGATGCCCCGAGTCCTGAAGAAAATGTCCTCCGAGTAAGATGTCGATATATATATTTTTTATAAAAAAACCTGGAGGAAGCATTCTAAGGTGTGGAAGATTAAATGTAATTTTATGAATAACTTATGGAAGCCTTCTAAGACTTGGAAGATAAAATCTTACCTTGCTGCGTGATCTTTCCCTCGTTAGGATCGGACCAGGACCGGAAACCAATAGCATACCAGTCGCCAGGAGCAGGAGCTTGTATCGACACGAGATGTTTCTGCTCATCGCTAGACATCTTCAAGGAACGATACTCTCGCCGACGTTTCAGCAATTTTGCGAAGATCTTCGACTTGTCCGGGATTATCAGAGGCAAGCTCCCCGACTTCAAGTACACCGAGACATCTCTCGGCTTGCAACTTCCGATACCCCCTGTCTTCTCCTCCTTCGCCGTAAATCTGAAACGTTAAAGCCAAGCACTGGTCTCGTACCTCACTTTCATATATATATATATATATATATTTTTTTTTTTTCTATACATGTTCACGTATAATTTTTCACCGATTTTGATGATTCTTTTCTTTTTTAAAGGAGGTGTTTTGTAGGTGGTTCTATGTAAATTGTTCAATGATGATTTCAAGAAAATCGACATACGTGAATACTGCCGTGACGCTGTTCTCCGGGACCGTGAAGTGGACGATGGAGATGTGTCGATACGCGTAATAGTCGACCAACAAGTTGGAAGGTTGCTGGGCCACTTTGACAAATTCCCCGCACAGGCCATGGTGGATCACGAGGCTGCACGTCAGAAGGAAGGCTACCTCGTTCTTTGGCATATTATTCGGCCCGCGTGTCGCTGCATAACAGACCGCTGGACCTGGAAACCGAGCGAGGGGTTTCTTGAAAACTGATTCTCTTTCCTCGGAGCGAGTCCTAAGTCTGCCACCGAGCTACTATCGCGACTCGGAATTAGACCAGCGGTGATAGCAACGTGGTGATGTTTTCAATTCGTATTTCCTGTCCGGCGATTACGCCCGATTAGATCGTGGATCGAGTAATCGCACTCGCCATCTCGGTGACCCGCAGAGAGTAATTCCCTTCTAGACGTCCGTCTCTTAGTGACTGTCTTCGTGTTGGATCTTATAGAAGTGTCGGTGAGTCACGTCAAGAAGTCTCATTCCATGTCGCGACTTTCCGGATAAGACTATCAAGAGATAACGCTAGAAAGATACATGGAAACATGGTGACTGCACCCTTCTTCATAACAAAACGGTTCGCTAAAGTAAAGGACTGGTGAGCGAGCACTAAACTGAGAAAAAAAAAAGAAAACGTCACTGAACCAAAGAAATCATTCTTTAAACAGTACCACAGAAATATATTTTTAATTCAAAGAATAATTATTTCGCTCTATATCTCCCTGGTTCATTGAACATTTTTTTCAATGTAGGACCAGTTAACTCGTCATGGAATTCCTCGAATTGCTTCATGTAGGTCGTAGTTCAATTTCGAGCCAATGACCCTCGTCGTTAAACCGAATCAACCTCGCCGTTTAACGAACCTCGCAGACACTCCACATTTCCTCATGCAACATCGCTCTTCGGCTTCATCCCACAGCTAACTCGCTTATGCAATTCGTTTGTGAGTATTTACGGCTCTCATGGTCGATCGGAAGAAGCATCGGTAACTGGAAACAATGACGTTGACGTAACACTTTTTGCGCGACAGCTAAGATAGACTTTTTCGCCTCGATGAAAAGTATCCCAGCGGATGCTGGTCGAGTAATTCTCTGTAATTATAATTTTTTCTCCTAGTACCAGGCAATGTCTAGAGCCTTCATCTTATCGGACGTCTTTACGGGATCGTCTGCGACCTAATTGGCTGACTGTGCTGGAAGGTTGCAAAAAGATGAGTGGAAACCGGCGACACATACCTACGGGGACCGTAGCTGTCAAACGCACGTGGTCGGAGCTGTCAAACGCACGTGGTCCGAGCTGTCATTGGCGGCAGGTAGCTTACAGTAGCTCACAGCTGTGAACAGCTGTTTCTACTCCTCGCAGCCTGTTCCTACACTTCCGTCTTATCGATCCGTAGCCGGCTTCGATGGCGGCAGCCTTGTTGATAACGGATTACGTTGTCGTCACCTCTTCCGAGTGACGCATGTAACACTACAAACTTAATCGGTCATACCCTAGTGGAAGACTTTTTCACAAAAATCTGGCTTTTGACAATCTTGCCAGGAAAATGTGGTCCTCTTGGGACGAAGGAACTTGTCATAGACTCGGAAGAGAATGGTTTGCTTCGACTTGTGAGGATTTCTTGATTTCATCCGAGATTTTCGCCCGTTTGATGGCCTTATCACAATGGCTGGTCGAGGGGGGATCCGAAGTCTGCAGGCTTCCACGACTGGGCTCTGCTCGAGCGCGACTAAACCGAAACAGAGCAGAGGTAAGTGGCAAACCTAGCAACCTCGAATCTACGTAAGCTCGAAACCTCGAACCACGTGAGCTCGAAACCTCGAACCCACGTTAAGCTCGAAACTACGAACTGTATAAGCTCGAGGAAACCTTGTGGCATTCATTCTGGTCGGCAATAAATTTTCCTTAGGGAGAAAGGTCGCTTTTTTGTCGCTTACACCAGGAAGTGTAATTCTGTAGAGGGAATATATGTGTTTATTAGTACGATATATAACGGTGAAGTATAAAGGTACAAATATCGAATATGAATAAATAGGTCAAATAAAAATAGGGCTAAGGTAACAATGGGATTAGTACGCTCTTATCTCAGAGGACAGATTCCTTAATATTACATCTCCAGATTTGTTAATATTTAAACTTCTTGGAAATTGGACGGAATATCAGTCTCTTCGTTTGTGGTATAGTATGTGGAAGTACTCTATCTTTAATATTAATTATGGATCGTAGGGTAATTCAGAACTCCCATGTGTCCATCCAACGTAACGAATGCAGCGGACTCTCTGGATCTGAGGCGGTTGGGCCATCCATTCCGTATGCCAGAGGTGAAAAGAGGTAGAAACTGAAAATAGAATGTCGAATTTCAAGTATCTATTTGGTAAGGTAGAACTGTTTTGTCGTTTTTTTTAATTTCAGAATATTTACCTGTACCCTACACTTGATATAACGACTCCAATTATCGTGTGGTACAGTGTCTGTCCTAATCTTCCTGGAAATATTAGCTGTAGCCCTTCTAGGGTGTAGTTTAGAGTTACTCCAGACAACATCGAGCTGAAGAGCACGGCCGGAAAGTAATGATGGAAGTAGAGCACACGACCCATCCCCCAGAAGGGTACATAATGCAAGATCCAACCCATGAATAACCAACTTCCGGCATGCATAATTCTTTTCCGACGAAATTTAACGATTGGATCATCAGAATATCCTCTTTGTTCTAGCACGGCGGCATGCATATACACGATTATGAACAACAAAAGAAAGACGATGTTTCCCCACCATATTATCGGATTACCCAGCAAATAAATCCTATGGTTATAGCCAGAGAAAAACTGACCCTGAAAAAGATATTTACGTGTCATTGCATACATTTAAACGCCTTATACATTATTTTTTTTTTTCATTTAAGAAAGTGTAAATTTACCCTATAATTTAGTGGCCATTGCCACGGTTTCGATGAAACTTCTCCTTCTTTCACTTTTAAGTCAGAATTCCCTTGAAGCATGACTGCATGCGATTCCAAGAATCTATGCAGAAATCCTGGGGCGTACACTTGAAAACTGACATTTGGCACTGGCAACACAATATGTAAATGCATTATTAATTTATGCAATCATTATCGTCGAAATAACAAAAATTGTGCAGATAACTTACGCTTTGCATAGTTATTGTCCTCGATATTCCACAGTGAATTTTTATCTCGCATGTTGGGATTGCAAGATACTTCTTGCTGATTATAGGCCCTGACGGAAAAGACAATGATTTATATTTAAATAACGTTTTTATACGTTGACACCAATGCTAAACATTGAAAGACTAACCAGTTTGGCAACGTTTTTCCACTACATGTCAATACGCAATGATGGAGGTAATGAACAAATTTCAACTTGCTTGTTACTGTTTCAACGATGTCACCTTCCTTGCCATTTAGTATTACGATTTTCCATACATCGTTGGCATCACCTACACCTTCCTACAAAGTAAAGCATTTTAAATGTTTTATGTCAGGGAAATTAAAGTGTGGCAAAATATAGGAATATTGAATCTTGTTAAAAGTACTTTACCTCACCATACCCTGTAACTTGATAATGCTTTTTGGATACCGGGGCAACTTCTTTATGGGAATGTAAATTACGTCCGGTGATAACGTGCTCTAAACGAACCAAGTCTCCATGCTTTACAAGGTGTGGTTCCGAGGGTATATCTTCGGTATCATATTTTTTAACCATCCATAAATTGTTGTCGTCTTTGTGGGAATATGTTGTTATCTGCAAAGGACATTATTGACGATGAAAATAAATTATAAATATTACGTACATTTTTTGGTAAATAAAAACCCACCTGTTGTTGACGAGCACCAATACCTTCTGGATAGAGGTGCCAGTGCGAGTGCAAGTATCCACCACCAGTACGATGATTTTTTAAGGTGATTTTAGCACCATAAGCGAGTTGTCGAGGCATCGTTGCATTGTACAATGAATTTCCTTCCAACAGAGATTGAAATTCTGAACTGTAAAATCCATCGCCACTCCCACTGCATTCAGAATAGTAATTATGTATAAATAACATTAATTACAGACAGAAATTACATTTAACAAAAATTCGTGGTATTTAATTGATTTACCTTTTATTTAAGATGGACAGGTGAATGTAAAAGAACAGCATGTAAAGAAGTATAGGTAAAACAATTAGGCACAGACATCTGGCCATTAAATGTTTTCCTACATAAGTCTGGAAAGTGATTTGAGTATATATTGTGATGAAAAAATTTGAAGTCGCAGGACAATCCTGATTTTATTAATGAAGAAACAATTGAAATTTACTTACAATGGGTTTTGTTAATTCTCCAAGTTCTCTCCATAATTCACTGACTGTATAAAGACCAACAAGTAAAACAATAAACAGGCCGACAAATTTTACACTCATGGTACAAGCCAGAGAAACACCTGTAAACAACAACCAGCACCACCAAGATGGAGTAAATGGCTGATCTTTCAGAGAACCAATGCGAGCCATTCCCCATGCTGCACACATCATGAAGCATAACAGTATTGGATCCAGAAGGATGTATCGGTTCAACGTCAATAAACCTACATCTGAAATCAAATAAAAATGTCATGGATTGCATAAAACAAAAATTAATAAAAGTATTTCTTTTAATAAGTAAAACTATGACTGAGTAAAAATATACCACAAACCACACAAAATAAACAAAGCAGAAAATGTAGCCGAGGATGTAGACTTGGTAAGGTCCCATACTGTAAGAAATGATAAGGGAACTATCGTTGCACCTAAAAATGTGCAGAACTGAAACAGAAAATGGATGAACAAAAATATAAACTATCAATTTATACAATTACGAAGAATAACATGCTTACGATTCTCATCCCAGCATATTGAACATTCTCATATTTATCTCCTGGCTTTTCAAATGGGAAAGTTCCGTCATATCCTGTTAAATACCCTGACAACGCAATAAGCATCTGCAAAAGAATAAACTATTGATGATTTTACATTCTTCACCATTAATTACATGCACATAGTGAAATGAATTGAACTCACTTTTCCAAGAGGAGGATGAACGTCAAAAAAGAATGTTCTGTTAATGTACCAACTTCCCATTTTTCCAAAATGTGTCTCGTCCCAACTAAAGCACAGGCTTTTTATTATTTTGTGATAAACATTTAATCTTATGCTTTCAATTATAATGCTTACCAGACATGCCTCGGTTCTGTCACATTATAAAATCTAGTACATATCGTAAAAAACATAATAGTCCCAAACAATAACCACCAGTTCCTGATAACATAAAAACATTACTTCATAAAACGAACCCTTCTTTCTGTATATTTTCAAGCAAACTAGAAATTTATTATGGCCACCTGTCCCTTTTTCCATTTTCCTCAGCAGGGTTGTTTGTTCGATCAGCGTTTTTAGGCAGACGCACACTCGATTTCTTGTCATCATCCATTATTTTACCTGTGAAGGAAATAATGTCTTCAAATATTTAAATGTAACTATTTTTTTTATTTAACAATAAAATTTTACCTGTTAAATCAGAAAATGTTGGGAAAACTTGTCATCACCGATGTATCATTATAAGGTAACAGGTGTTCCACAAATCGATCAACGTTGTAAGGTACGCCCTTTTCTCCAGTAATGTAATTACTCCTCAAAGGGCTTTAATACATTTATTATACAATTAATAACCATTCATAAAATTGTAAGTACGTAAAGTCAATCTTCGGTACATTTATTTACAGTTATTCGAAATACTGCTGACATGGCAATGGTTAACGGAGGTTAGGTTGGAGTTCATGAACCGGATTGTGCGATGCTAAATCTATGCTACCCCGTATGGAAGAAAGTTCAAATTTATTTAATTGCACCGATCTCTATCCGGGTGAAAATGTACTTTAGGATATTGCACACTTACGATAAAAATACAATTGCATATAAATATATCTTACGTATAAAAGTAAATTTTAGTTAGTTCGAGTGGAGAAAATTCGAAAACCCGCTCCAAGAAATTCTATCATGGCCGATAATCAGTTTCAGGCATCTGTGGACAGATGGCGTCACCGAATTCGCCGAGTTCAAACATTTTCCCGCTTAGCCGGAGAGATAATTCGATTCGATCATTTAAATCAGTGTACTCTTCTATTTCGGATCATCCGACCCAGTTAGCCATGAAATGTTACGATCAATATCGGAGCCGAGGTTTATCTCCCGGGGTAAGTAATTAACGATAATATCCACTGCGCTACAAGTTCTGGACTATTCTTGACAATCCACCCATTCTTATCCCGGAATTGCAGATGTTCCATTAATGACTCACTAAACAGCACCAGTTCGTCTAATCGTCTAATTACCTCTGCCCGCTTCCGGTCCCCGGAAGTTTCTCATTTACCGATCGACGAAGACATCAATGCATCTACAAATTAACAGTACCCTTTGCCTTTACCCTCGATTATATACATTCTTCGTAAACAAATGCATGCAGAGTAGTCAACCAAGTAGACTTTCTCCCCAAGTTGGAATTATGTTAACGGGATCTTTTTGCAGGATAGTTCGCAAAAACGAAGCTGATTACCGAATTCGACGTCGATCAGCGTTCGCCCACCGTATTCTTACGTAACTCCAAGGAGGACCATCCACCCCCCACGGCCCGTGTCGTGTCCTGTCGGATCCTGTCGACCCCTCGTCATTGTCCTGAAACGGGTCCGGTAGAACCAGTCAAGAGCCGGCCGACAGAAGTCGAGCGAGATGTGACCGATAATGTAATTATGCGGGACAGGTTTTTTGTGCCGCGCGACGACGGCCGGAGAGAACTCCTCCTCCCTTTCTTTCTCTCTCTTTCGCCCTCTCTCTCAGGCCTCGACTCGGGCCCCGCGGAAAAAAGGAGAAAAAAAGCTCGCGCAGAAATGTAATCGCGATCTCCACGGCCAGAAGGAGAGGGTCCAGGCAGGAGTGCACGCCGCGTCCCGACGCGTGCTCCGTTCGACCACGTGCAACAAGTAGGGGTGTAACGAAAGCACTTATAAAAAGCGAAAGAAGAGAAGCTGTATCGCGCAAGCGAATGCAACAGTCTGACTAATGTGAAACCTTCGTGCAAGGCGAAAGCGAAATATTCGTTACAACCCTAGACTGAGAAAAACAGTGAGCTCAACTTTTAATAGTGTCAAAGAAATATTTGGTTAATTCACTATCATTCAATTATCTGACTCAAATACATTGTCACTATTCCGAAAAAATGTTGCATACAATTTATTCGAGTCAAAGTTGGCAACGTGAATATGGAGTCTACAAGGAAGGTCCCGATACCAGTGAAATTTCATTTTTTGCACAAAAATTTTTTAATTTCTACAAAGATATGTTTAACAAAAAAAATTGAAATTTTACGCTTGCCAGGACCTTCATTATAGTCTCCGCGTTCACATTGTAAAGTTTGAAACGATTCGGCACACCAAATTCAAAGAAAAGTTTCATAAACGAGATCTCTTTGGCGTGATTTTCACATCACCTTAAATCTGCACATCTCGTTTCGCACGAATTTATCGTTACACTTGCAGCCTTAAGGTCGCCTTTCAATGCAATGCCCTGAGACGTCGAGGACACCTGAGACGCGTATCGAGCGAAATCGATACGAGGTGTATAGGATGGCGCGTGGATATTTAATATTCGCCTGTGGATCCCTTACGGACATTGTAAGCACCTGCGCGTGCCGAATGCGCAGAACACCCCGCGCAGATATAATGCATCAGCATTTAGGCGCGATGCGTGATCTCTAGCGTGTCAAAAAAAAAATGCATAGTAATAACAAGAAATTTTATCTGCTGCAACAAACGTGAACACTGGAAAATGGGCCGGCAACATTTATATCCAAAATCATTTTCGTTATATTGACGAAAACATTCTAGCGACAACGAATTATATACCGCTCATTTGTTTGAGAAGGGACAACAATAATTGCCTGGCTGCCGCAATAAATTCATTTGCTAATTTAACAAGAACTTTTTCCACAGAGAGCTGGTTACATCTACAATTCGACATAACTGCAAATACTTTTCTCGTTGGTAGGATTATTCCTGCGGTAAGGGAGAAACATTATCGGCAACCTGCTACAAGTGCAAATGTCTTTTTTCCCGTGGACGCACCTGCGTCACTCATGCACACCAGCGGACGTGATTGCCTTCCTTTTTCCCATCGGCTTCGTAACATCCACGAGGTAGACATCATGTCCGCCAGTGTACTCGTGCACCTTGCGATCGGTCCAGCGTTCCAGGTTGGAAAGCACTTTCGTAGTAACGCCGGCGATTTACCTCGCATTTACGCGCATTGAAATCTCTGTGGGGATTCCGCATGCGGGAATCGCGATGAGCCGTCGGCCGGTGCGGTCACCCCTCGTCGAGCGCGCAGCGACTCTCGTCGCTGCAAGAGGTCCGAGGTTCGCGGAACCCGCGCGATTCCGAGGCTGCGAGGCTGAAAATTGCGAGAATCGGCCGAGAAGATCGACGAGCTGGTTCCGGAGCGCCCCGTGGAGAGGCCGGTGCGGATGCTCCGCGTCCGCGAGTCCGTATCTCTCTCTCTCGTGGAACCTTGCCGAAGGAGGAACGGAGAGAAAGAGAGGCGCACAATGGACCGTTGTCGAGCAGCCCATCCCCCGACACGGGGAGCACAATGGACACTATTATCAGCTATTCATCGAGTGCTCCTTTAAACCTGTTACCCGATGCAATGGCCGGCTTCCCCGCCGGCCCGGACACTTGCCGAGAGGATTTTTAAACGAAGACGTCGCCGCGTCCCTGCGACCTCGCGCGCTGCACGTGGGTCTCCGAGAGCCCCCGTTTGAGAGTCAACGCACGCGCCTTCCCGCCTCGATTTTTGCCGAGGGAGTCGGAACGCTTCTCCGTCTACGAGGAGGAGGAGGAGGGGGAGAAGAGAGACGGGGTTAACGAGGGTGGCGAGAAGTAGGATCAAAGGAGGGAAAAGTAGCGGGCATCGATGTCACGGGAGACGTTGAAGAGGGTCCACTCGAGAGGGAGAGAGACGCCGTGGTTACGGCCGGAGAGCGACAAGGAGGGGACGACGCCGCCCCCGATGTGGAAGCGAGACACGAGAGCGGTGTCGAAAAGCGTTCGTTTTACGAGTCGGGGCAAGAAGTGGCCAATAACAAACACGAGGGCCGACTGCCGTGAGAACAAGGTCGACGCCGGCCTGCAAGGGCTCCGTTCCCCGCAGATGCAAAAACCTGCGAGATATCCGCGGAGAGGCGCAGCCTGCCGTTTAAACTGGTTCCTCTCGTCGCCGAGGACCTCCGCTTTCCCCGTTTCTCCGCGAGGCCGAAACCGGAATTCGGCAAAATCCGAATTCCGATCGAGCCGGCGCAGAAGCCGATTGCACGGGCTCGAACTCGAAGAGTCGCTCCTGACCGTCAAATATGCGATCGATTCGCGCATATAGGCCGTATCGTCTGCGTTTCGCGACGAAGATGAGAATTTCCGATAGGTTTAACTTGAGCTACGATTTCGCCGAAATACTTGGTTTATGTATCTGTACGCTGGAAAGCGCGGGGGTCTTCCTCGAAGATATGGATACCCCGGTGCGCGATGGGAAGACCCTCTTGTTCGGCTTCCATCGCCGTACCGTTCGTACAGTGACCCTTCCCTATCCCTCTGGATATAAATCCCTCCATCGACAGTGACCTGCCCTGATACCAGGGCTGGGTAACTATTTCAGTTGAATTCATTTGAAATGTTCTATATATATATNATACATATATAAAAGCCAAATACCACTCACTAACCCACTCATTGACTGAGTCATCATCGTTCAGCCTAAACTGTTGGGCATAAAAACGTAAAATTTGGGGGGTACGTTTGTTTTGTAACATAGAAGCTCCCTAAGAAGGGATTTTGAACTGAGATGGGGAAAAGGGGTAAAATGTGTTCTTCCAAATTTCCACTTACACATATCGTGAGCGAAGCTCCGACGAGGCATGCTATACTGGAAAATAAATAGCGTAAATTCAACTAATTATCCAAGTGAAATATGGCGAAACTCAGTAATCGAGTTGATTCAACTTAGATTTGGAGCAGAATCACATTTCGGAGTCGAATCAACTGTACGAACGAGTCGATTGCTCCAAATCTAAATTAAACCACCTCTCTTATCGAGTTCGCCACATTTAACTCAGAAAAATGTTGAATTTGCTCTCATTTTATCCCAGTGTATCGATTTAATCCGATATTTCAAATGAAGGGTTTATTTAAATAATTCAGACATTAGAAAGAAAACAAACGTGATCAAAAGAAATGCTGAATTTTTTATGTCTTCAAAGAAATCATGATTTCGATCAACCCTGGGGCAAATATTATATATATCCAAGACGTTACTTCCATCGGTGCACGGATGCGTCGCGGATGTACATGCTCGAATCGGCCATAAACGATCGCGGTTCCCCCTCGAGGGCCTCGCGGATGCATTGGGCGCCGGAGATAGCCACTGGCGGTGCGCGGTCGCTCCCTCTCTCTCCCACCGCGTTCCCCGCGCGTCGGGCCTCTCTGTCCCTCCCGCGAGCCGACTCAGTCAGTCGGTCAGTCAGTTCGGAGCAGCGCGGCCGCTCGCACCGGATACGCTCCCGGAGAGCACGGCGCACCACGGCGCGGCACCCTCCACCGCGACTCCGCCGCACCTGACGGACGACGGGCGCACAACCAGAGGATCGGCCGCCCGGGAACCGCTCGCGATGCGCTGGGCCAGGCTGACGGCCGCCCTGGCGGTCCTCGGCGTCCTGGCCCTGGCCGACGCCCGCCACCACCGGCAGGGACCCGGCCACGGCTCCGAGCACAAACCTAAGGGCGACATCTCCCTCTGGATCGACCACCAGCAGATCAAGATGTTCAGCGGTGAGGCCCTCGTCGCTCCCAGAGCTCCAGGAATTCGCGAATCCCGCGAGACTCGCGAATCGGCGCGGATTCCGTTAGCCGAGCTGCGCACCAAAGACGCGTTCGGGTCGAATATATCGCGGCATTTCTTTCAAGACGTTGCGCTCGATGCGAGTAATGCGCGCCCCGTGGGCGTAGATATACATAAACATGTACAAAAATATCTCAATATATGTTTAGAAATATACATAAATACGGGTAGGTGATTTAAGGGGATATGAAAGGGTCATTCTATGTGTACATCGAAACGTGAAAACGTTTATAAAACTTATCTCCAAACTGGGGGCACCGAATAATCTGAAACTTTAACGCGTGATTATGGAGGTCGTAATGAAGGCCTTGAAAGTAACGAAATTTTATTTTCCGAAAGAAAAAAAAAATGTTTTTACCGAATAAGAACTGAAAAAAGTTGTAATTATGCTTGTTAAATCAAATTGTCAAATTGTTTCAAATTATTCGGTGTATCCAGTTTGGAGAAAAGTTTTATAAGTTTTCTGACTTGGTATATATATATGTATGACATTTGCATAGCACCTTAAGGCTTGGAATTGATAAGCTGCGCGCCGAAGACGCGCTGCATTTTTTTTTACATCCATTTTGCATTCAAAAGGATTTTTTTCGTCTCTCGATTTGATTCTAGAGTATTGAATTCGTGCAACTTTGAACGTTTACATGGGTTGGATTTATGGGCTAGATTAATATATATCTATAGCAGGATTTATTTCGTTGAGTGAGCACTTCGTGCAACGAATCTCTCCCGAATCACCGGCGACCCACGTGGAACGGGTTAAGTATGATTTACACCGATCCGCGGTCGTTTCTTCTTTCTTTCCCTGAGGACGCGAATTTTCGACTCGCTCCTTCGGGGAGTGGACGCTCTCGTTATTTTAAGACAAGTTTCTCGCGGCCTTGAACCCTCGCGAAATATCGAAAGGTTACTCGACTCGGCGCGCTCCTCCGGCGGAGTTTCTTCGCCGTTTGACGGGACGAGGAAGTGCCTCGGACGACGCGCGTGAATTATCTCCCGGGAGGGTAGTCATTTCCGCGAGATCTACGGCGGACGTTAAGCTCGGGAGATCTGGAGGACCGTGAACTCTTCCTACCTCGTAAACTCGTTTCTTCGTGACTCGAAATTACCCTTTTAAAAATGTTTTGATATTTCGAACACCATCGAGCACATACGTATATTAAGATCGGATGAAAGGGTCATTCTATATATAAACATAAAAAAAAAAAAAAGTAAAAACATTATAAAACTTTTCTCCTGGGTGCACCGAATGATTTAACACTCACGAAATTATCGACTTTTATGCCCGAAATCACGTGGAAATCAGCTGTTGAAATTGTTGAGCATCACCGAGATCATCGCCACTTGTTACCGAATAACATTGTTGTTTATCGTATAAAATCAAGGGTAATCGGCTCTCGATGAAGGAAATCGTTTTTACTAATTCCCGAGTGAATAGCCTCTCGTAAAGTAGACTACTCCGCGAATGAATATCCTTTCGGGAAGTAAAACCTCCGATTGGAGTCGAGGCGTGCAACCTTGGATTCCCACGGCGCGATAAGCAAGAAGGTGGAGGTTGAAACAAAAGCGGGAAGCTGCCGAGAAACCTCCCTTGATCCTTCGTCCTAAGATGAAGGGATCGTTTTCGAGATTGGGATCTTTTTCACCCGTGGAAACGGTTGCGGCTCGTCTCCCCCGGCGTGAAGCTACGAGTCACTTTTCGAGCCCTCTCGTCGACCGGATGACGGATGGCGATGACGCGTGAAACTCCAATAAAGGATCTTCCTTTCTATCTCGAAGCCGGGTCCTCCCCTATTTACAGGACCCGGGTTTTGAAAACGAGCTACCTGTCGTGCGCGGAAAATAATTTTCCCATGGGTTTCCCGGAACCGAGCATTGGGATATTAAATTCGCCGCGGTGATTCTACCACCGAAGGGGTATTCACTCTGGAAATAATGGACATTAACCCTCGGAATCGTATGCAAATCATTGGAAATCACTGAAACACTGCCGGAATTTTAAATACGACCATCCCTTGTTACCGAATCGCATTGCTGCTTATCGTATGATATTTAAGACAATCGGCTTTCAGACAAGGAAATTGTTCTCACCGATTTCCGAGTCAACGGCCCCTCGTTTACGACTTTATACATGTATCTCAATTCTTGAACAGGCGCCGAGATGCAGATCTTCGCCATCACGGAAGGTATGGTCCTCCCGTACCTGTTGGACCCGGAATTCGAAAGCAAGCTGCCCATTATTCCCAGCGAGGTGTCTTGCGTCAACTTCACGTGGAAATCCGGCGTCAAGAAGTACTATTACAACTTTTATCGACTAAAGTCCTACGACGAGTCGATACTGAAGACCCCCTCGATCACGATCAAGACTCGAGGTCGAGTGCCTAAGAGGCCCAAGGGTAAAAATTCGTTAACAATTGTCTACAGTTATTACTGTTCTTGGGGTTTGAGATTTGACTTTGTTTTAAAAAAAAATGTCTTTTCTCCCCGCTCGTGTTATGAACCATCTCAAGGCGCTTTGATAATAATAATTGCGCTTTACATGATAATTTCTGTTGTGTGGCTGCTTAAGGTGGTGCGAAAGCGGTATCTGAGGGATCAATAATTTACGATACTTTTCTCTGAACTGTATGTACCGAATCGTTTAAAAATTCACCATGTAAATGCGGAGGTTTCAAGCAAGGTCTTGATAGCAATGAAATTCCAATTTTTATACGAAATAATAAATTGCTTATGAAAAGGGTTAGAAAAAATTGGAATCTCATAAGTATCGGGACCTTCTTTAGGGCCTTTGCATTCACGTGGTGAAGTTTCAAACGATTCGGTACACCATGTTTGGAGAAAAGTTTCGTAAATGAGAGCCCTCAGACGCCCTTTTCGCGTCACCTTAGGGATGGATGGAAAGGATGCAAATTATGACCCTTTTTTTGGACGAGTTGAAAACGATTTAGTATGCCTTTCAGAATTCAGCGTTCTTCTGCCTTGTTCGGGGAACAACTCCGGGATCGTGCAATTCGGAATCGGCCTGATGATCGAGACTCGTAAAGGCAAACCGTTGAACGGCACGCCGTTGCATCTCAGCCTGAGAAAAGAGTGCACCGTGCGTGGTGAGTTCGCCAATCGCGCCCAAGATCGTCATATCTTCGCAAGCACACACAGTTCTGTATCACCAGTTATCATCAATATATTTATCATATCAGTATTAATTAGATATACGATACGGTCGATCTTAATCGATGTTTCGTTTCCGCTTACGAAAGAAACAAACCATTCTTGCCGTTTGCGGTTACGCTACTTTCCACACTGAAATCATACATTGTTTTAACAATAACGGATAACTGATGAAATACTTTTCGAGCGTACATCATATCGACACATTTTGTCGCGTTTGACATCCCGCGTGGGCGTAACAGCAGGGCGTCAATTGATCTCCGATTAATCTCCAATCTCGAGCGACAGAGCCCTCGTGGCTCCTATTTATCCACGGCACGTGATTAGAATGTGTAAATATAGCAAGGTTAACCTATAAAAAAAATTATTATATCTTGAAGTCACACCCACAATATTCTTAATCTTATCCTGAATCTCTGTACGCATCACTGGATGACGACACTTTGCTATCGATCAAGGCTATTCACCGGAAGTTGTTCAACTCGTACGATGCCGATAGTGATACTGCGTTTAATTTAGTATATTACTGATTACTGTTGAGTAACCAGAAGACACTGAATCTAGTCATTATCTTGTAGATCCAAATCCGGTCCCATGCCCTGATGGATACTTGGGGCCTCCGCACTGTAAGAAAGCACTTTGCTATCCAAACTGCATGAACGGTGGAAACTGTACGGCACCAGGGGTCTGTTCGTGTCCTCCTGGATTTCAAGGACCATACTGCGAAGGAGGTAATAAGAAAAAGAACCGTCTTTCATGGGGACTATACGGAAAATTTCATCTATCTCTACTTATCCACACGCTATCTACTGTTATATCACAAAAGTTCATTTAAAAAATCACATCGTCCCGTTTAGAATATTTGGTTGAAAGCACTATAAATGCTTCATACCACCTTAGATATCGCGATGGCAGTCTTGCAGCCAAAGTGTATGACCTTGGTCAGTGCCTGATAAAAGGGGGCTTGTTCGGCGCCATGTTCCAATCCCGTTTCGTGATGCTCCTGTTCTTCGTCGCGGAATTTCTGAATGGTGTCCAATAGTTCTTTGTTCTCATCGGCCACGTCGCTGGCCATGATAGTACGCAACTGGTCGTTGTAGTGATCTACTATGACCGTTTCAACGGCCACTGTGCACGCCATTGCAGCTTTTTTACCCATCAAGGCTGTACCAGCGCCCAGAAGAAACCCAGCCACGTTCCAAACCGGTGTGAGAACGGTTGGTCTTGCTCTATGCTTCACAATCAGCTCCTCGAATTTTTCCCGATGCCTCTTCTCTTGCTCCCACATGTGCTTTATAGTTGGGCCAACCGGTGTGTTGCCTGATTCATAGATAGAAAATTAAAATGAGCCTTGGAGTTACTTTTTAAGAATAAATTTCACTCAAGAGCTTGATTTCTACCTAATACAGCCATCTGTCCTGCGTATATTCTATCAGCTCCCAATTCTCCAGCATGATCGACTCTCAGTATCGAGTCTATGAGCTTTCCCGTTTTGGTGTTAGACGCTGCAGCCGACACTGTGCCAACAAAACGTATACCGCCTTGTTTCAGATGCAACATGTTCCTTAAACAAGATCATAAAAACATGTTCAACAACCATTTTTCTTTATTTTAGGAATATGCGCAGAGAAGTGTCTGAACGGTGGAAAATGTATACAGAAGGATACGTGTGAATGCCCAAAGGGCTACTTCGGACTACACTGTGAATTTTGTAAGTATCGATGATATGAATTGAAGATAAGTTTGACTAAAATCTATTAAATGCTATGTTGTATTTCAGCAAAGTGCGTGATTCCTTGCTTAAATGGAGGAAAATGTAAGGGAAATAATGTATGTCGATGTCCAAATGGATTCAAGGGAGATCACTGTGAAATTGGGAGGCGTTCTCCACAACGCTCAGCATGTACTCGAGCCTGCCGAAACGGAACTTGCCAGCCAGACAACACGTGTCATTGCGAACCTGGATGGTTTGGAAAGTTGTGCAATAAGAACAAACCGTGGGCCTAATGTGCGAGAAGGAAGCTGTTATCGTGGCATTGTCATTTTCACTAATAGGAGACTTCTTTGTACGTCATCTTGTGCTCTTTTGGATATTGGCATTTACTAAATTCAGATTAAATTGTTCTATATTCCAATGATAGAGTATTTTAGGATTTTTAATACGAAAAAACTAATACAGTCATCGATCGAGCAATGCCGCGGTAATTGAACACATGGACTTCGTGAACATACCCCACCCCACATGTGATATGTAAAGCTGCTTTACACGATTTTATACTATTAATTATTATTAATTATATTCTTTTATATTGTAAGACATTACATAATGATTGTATAAAATAAAAGTATTTTTTCTTTTATTAAATACCGTTCCTTCAAATTTAATACACCGCCTTAAAATGGTTTACAACGTTCGCTTCCGGCCAATTCGTGGAATCGTCAGTTTTCCAGTAGAATCAGAATCAATTTTTGCTGCAATACTCTGAATGACTAAGTTCAAGTCTTAAATAAGCAACATCGACAGCTGATCCCATGGCGTGACCTGTCACGTTACGCGAATCAACTTAACCTCTAAACTGGACCGTCAAAACGTGAAATGGCTAACACGATAAAAATTTCCCACAATCCGAGACCTCCTCCAGCAACACAGTCAATAAAAACTTGAAAACCATCGCGATCGCGTTGAACGTCTCCTCGCCGTCAATAATCCACTGCGGTATCCACGCGTAACCGTCGATCGAATTCTCGCATTCTCGGCCAATACCGCGTTGCCCTCCGCAATACCCTCTGGAATTACCTAATCGAGCGGCGTGCGAGGAAAAGCCCGCGCAAACCGCGTCAATCGAGCCGTCCACGGGTTTGGAGGTTAGGTTCGCGGTCTTCCGTGGGCGCGCTCGAGGCACAAGAGCGTCCCGGTAATGGCGGCCGTTGGGAGTCACGTGTCTCCTGCGAGGCGGCGGGCCAATGGGAAGGCGGCATCGGAGATCCGCCATGACAGTGGCCGTCGAGCGGCCGACCAATGGGTTTACTCGAGGCCCTGCTACATGTATACGGAGGTACGCGTTTCGGAGGTGGCTGGCACCCGAGGTTTCATCCCCGGGTAAAATCGGTGAGTTCCATCCTGGTCCCGGGCCGCTCGATCCCCGAGAGCCGCGCCGCCCCGGGCGCCGGGTCCCGGGCCGAGTCCGGCCTCGCGAAATCGGGTAAATTCGTATCGTCTGCTGCGCCGTATCGCGCAGGCCCGCACAAAATGGCGGCCCGTGCGACGCGCTCGGGCCGCGGGTGGAGATGGAGACCCTCCGGCCGATCGATACGAGCGAGCGGGCCGCCGATCGCGAACGCTCCCACGGCCATGGTGCCCGTCGTCTCTGCGCGCGCGTACGCGCGTGTACCTTCGCCGAGGGCGCGAGACGTGGCCGCGCTTTTCGCGGGTTCGCCGCGTTCCGCGCTCGGCTGAGATCGGTAGCCGCCCGGAGCCCGAGACACGCGCGACGGGAGAGAAGAGCGCCCGGCTCGCCTCCTTCCGCGGACCGAGGACTCCCCGAGCCGTCGGGGCGTGGTGCCGCGGCCGGGGCCGCCGGGACTGCCGAGACTGCCGGGAGAGGACGACTTAACCTCGCGCGGCCGCGCGAGGCGCGCCGCGGATCGCGACCACTCACGGGACACACAAGGTGCGTACGCAACTCGCGCTTTTCACTGGGCCTGCTCCATGGAGCCGCGCGCCGAGCGCCCAGCGCCGTGGAGAGAGAGCGGTTTCCCGCTTTGCGGGTGCCCTGCGCATCTAAGCCGCCCGGCCGTGCTCTCTTCTGCCCCCTGCCCCCTTTTTCCCGTCCCCGCGAAGACCGCCGCAATAGTGCGCAAAGTGACGCGCCGACTTTGTACCGCCGGGCCCCTTTGCGCCTGTCGGCCCGGCGCAGCCCACCTTCGGTGCTTTTACGCGCCGACACGCGCCGTCCACGTCTGACGCGAAAACCAGACCGGGGCCGACCGTGGCCGCGGTCGCGGCCCGGCGGCCCGGGCGACCCGCCGCGTCCGGGCTCGGTAGGCTCCGGTGAGACCGTCCTGGACCGCCCACCGATTCACGCTCGAGGCAATTCTTCTTTACCTTCTGGACAAGGGTAGCTAGTGTAGTTTATTTTCCTGCACCCTGTGAAGCTTCTCTTGGATTTTGAGCTCTTCCATATCGCGGGTGCAGCGAGCATGGATGGGAATCGTCTTCTTGACCCAGGATGACGCAGGGGTGACAGGAAGCAAGTGGTGATCAATGCTCCGACTTGGAGTCGATATTTGGTACCTCCTGTTTTTCTTGGGGCTATTTTAGGAATATGTTATGATATACTCGGATTTGGATCTATTCGACGGAAGGTAGACTCTTCCTAGGAGAGAGTTCCAAGATACGACGATAGGTTAGATATTCAATGTTCTTCTTGGAAATATATTAATAATCGAATTAATATTGTAGAGAAGTGCTGGGTGAATTTGTGGATTTTTTTAAAAGATGGGTAGGGTCAAATCCATAATGCTTGCGGAGTTATTGGATTTCAGGGGTGAAAGACCTCGACTTTTGATTGCTAGCAGTAGGTCGTATGTGGGAAAATGCGTGTATGCGTGTCAGAATCGAAAAGGTAGTGAGAGAAATGAGGGAGGGTGACCCTATGATGGGGTGGAACGAAATAGGGGATCCCTGAATGAGTCATTGTCAGGGTTGGATACATTTAAAGATCCCTACTCCCTGTATGCTTAAGTTCCCTGGAATTTAAAAACTTCTTTTAGTTGTATCGTGAAGTTGATAATTAAGTAAATTTTATTAATAACTAATATCTTTTGAATTAATTTGAAAATGTTCTTTGCGGTTTGAATAATGGTTATGTACATATTTTATACCAGGTCGAAGCAATGTAGAGGTGGCTCACGACAAGGTTCGCAAGAAGATCGACGGGGCATTGCAATAGGCGTACGGTGTCGGGGAGCATAGAATGGCCTCGCTGCCTGGCGACTCTAGAACGATGGATCGACTTTCGGACGACGACGATGAGGACCCCACCAGCGGGTCGGAGACCTACGAGGAGGGCGACCTCCTCAGCGCTGCAATGGACGATGACGTGACTGCCCAGCTCGCCGCTGCAGGTTGGCAAATCAAACACGCTAATGGTGATTTCCATTTTTTTGCTTTTCCACCTTTTTCAGTTGCAAACCCTAATCTATTTCATCCTCGTCGAAACAGGCACAAGGTTTATGGCTCTCTCGACAACCATGTCGGAGTTCACGCCATAGGCAAATATTGCTTTGGGGAAGAACTTGAAAATATGAGAATGTATAATCACGTAGCCCATTCCTCAAAAGTATCATTCATTTCATGAGTTATCCCCTACGTGTTTTAATTTTTTAATTTCTGTCTTCCTATTAACCTTGATTTTTGGTGATGATTGTCGTAACGAAAATACATTAGATGTCTGCACGTGTCATTGTGGCTTTATGCATTTTTTGTGTTTGAACGTACCTAATATGCCAGTGTAATGTTTACAAAATACCAAAATTCTTTAACATTCAAATACTGATATGCAAGTAACATGTATCATATCGAACGAAGAAACCTGTAGGTATATTGGCTCACTGACCGAAAGGGTACCTGTTCATTAGTGACAATACCCACACCTCGGATCACCTTTGATGACCACTCTTGTCGATTACACTGGCATGTCACGTCTGTCAGGATTGTCATGGAAAATCGAGAGTTTCTGATAATGATTGTACTCAGGCCCTGTCGGCGTCGCTGCGGCTGCCGCAATTGTTTCGGCGAAAAAACGAAAACGTCCGCACAGCTTCGAGACCAATCCCAGCATCAGAAAGAGACAGCAGAACAGGCTTCTCAGGAAACTTCGAGTAAGTCGACCGCTTCTTGCCCGGCGCACTAATTGCGCCTTGTTCGGTGAAATAATGAAAACACGTGTCCACGTTTCAGCAAACGATCGACGAGTTCGCGACGCGAGTCGGTCAGCAGGCGGTCGTGCTAGTGGCGACGCCTGGAAAGCCAAATAGTAGTTACAAAGTGTTCGGGGCGAAGCCCCTGGAGGACGTTGTTAAGAACCTTCGGACGACGATCATGGACGAGCTGGAGAGCGCGTTGGCTCAGCAGGCGCCACCGCCGGTCCAGGACGACCCGTCTCTGTACGAATTACCGCCCCTGATCATAGACGGCATCCCGACCCCCGTCGAAAAAATGACGCAGGCTCAACTCAGGGCGTTTATACCTCTCATGCTCAAGTACTCCACCGGCAGGGGCAAGCCCGGCTGGGGGAGAGACAGCACCAGACCGCCCTGGTGGCCCAAGGAGTTACCCTGGGCGAACGTCAGGATGGACGCGAGGTCCGAGGACGAGAAGCAGAAGGTTCGCTCGCCCCTTCTTCCCGTTGTCCCTCGTCGAGGGGTTCTATTGTTAGACACTTTACCCCGATCATTTGGTACGCGTACCAAAGGTGTCGATTTATCGAGCTCCCGGTGTAAACAACGATGTACAAAGACGGGAAGATATGCCTTTCTTTTCTAGCGTACCGTCCCAAGACGATACGCGACTGTTTACACGGTTTAACAATTCCACGCCTTTGATACGCGTACCAAGTGATCAGTGAAAACAACCGTATGCAGTATGCAGGTCTATCACGTTGAAAATAACGATTAACTGGAGTGTCGTTCCTCAGATCTCCTGGACTCATGCGCTGAGACAAATAGTGATAAATTGCTACAAGTTCCACGGGAGGGAAGACCTTCTGCCCGCGTTCAGCGAGGAGGACGACAAGTCCAACGTACTGATACAACAGTCCGCCCCTCATTCGTCCTCGCATCCCTCTCACTCGTCCGGCCAGGCTCAGGGTGGCCAGTCGACGCAACAGCAACAGACGGTGGGAGTCGTTCGCCTCAACAGCACGGGCTCGTCTAAGGGAAACTCGTCTCCGCCGCAAATCATTGCCGCGTCACCCACAGCTCTTGCCACTGCCACTCAGGTGGGAGTGGGTGGAGTCTTTCATACGAGAACTTCTTAATCATGCATTTTGTTGATGCGATTCGTGTTTGGTTTCCCTTATTTGAGTTCTGTACTTATTTAAAGTGTATGACTATACTTATCCAGTACGGTATTCCCCAGAGCTAACCGGGATACATTCACCGTTGTTACTTCTAGACCTAGGAGAGATCGATTTTTCTAATCGCACGGATGTCGATTGCGTTAACGGCATTTACGTTCTTTATTTATTATTTATTTATTCATTCGTTATCTGTGCTCAGCAGCTGGGCGTAAAATTTATGGCGTACCTTTAATCCTTTGACTCGTATAGGCGTGTATGTGCGTCCAACGTTTGGTCCACTATTGCCTGTTCGCAATGGTGAATTTCGCCCATATGTAGAAAGGGCTTAGCGGTCAAAGGGTTAAAAGCTTTGGGGATATTTTTTCTTTTGTTTATCTACCTGGTGTAGGATATTAACGAGCCTGTGGCGCGTTTTACAGATGACGGCGCAGTATCCAACGACTGTGTTGCAGACGATAACGAATCCTGACGGGACCGTGTCGATAATACAGGTCGACCCGAGCAATCCTATTATCACGTTACCAGATGGCACTACCGCCCAAGTCCAGGGCGTCGCCACCGTAAGTTTCCCTTAGCATTTGAACAAAATCTGAGACCATTTAGGATTTAATCGCGAAGAACCCTGATGACGAGAACAAACTAGTTAGTTTAAATCTGCCGCGAAGCCTGTAGGCACCATTCGTTAATAGCAAACGCGTCATGAACTGTTAATGTCGATGTGCTATTTTCTGCACGTCGCACAGGGCGACGGCAGAACGGGCATCGGAATTTTCACCGTGCAATCGAGGGGTGGAACTAGAAAAATCCCCGTGGTTCGCAATATTCATTTCTCTCGAGCTGCAATTTTGGGCCCTTGAAAGACGTGAATGAACTCTGATATTCAACCCCTCGATTCGGCACCGATTCGGATCCAATGGACTAGGAGACGTAAAAAAATGGATGAAAAAATTCTCTGTTACAGCTCGAAACGTACGACGTGAGAATTAAAAGCGAGATGGACTTGTAACGGTGTAATTAACGTGTCCCGATAGGTGTACATTAACGCTGCCTAAGCGTTGCATGGTTTCCTCCTAGGGACAAGATTTGCAACGAGAGTCTCGCACTTGTTATCTTCGATCCACTAATGCCAACGATTTCGCATTCGTGTCCGATATATATATTTTTTTTTTTTTGGGAGTTTTAATCCGTGGATTCCGCAGGACAGTCTGCCACGGTGTCCAGTCGAAACTGTCTACGATTTAATGTAGACTGCTAGCCGAGTTGAAGTTCCGCTGGGAATAGCGTATAACGTTAGAGATTTATCGCGGTTCGATAATCAGGCCTAGACTTCGGAATTATTGACTGATGGTGCGTACTGGCATTAATGTAAATCCGGCTGTCTGGTGGCAAATAATTTAAGAGGAAGAATTGCACATATCCCGCGGGCTTACAAGGAAAATCCTACGAGTCCATGACTGTGGAGAAAGAGTTACAGAGCTAGCGGTTGAGGCCCTATTAACCGTGAGTCGGCCATCTTGGATTGCGAGGTCAAAGGCGAGGGAATTGAATGAAATTCCCATCCAGTACTTTTTTTTTCGAAACGAATAACATTTTCCAGCAAGAAGTAGCGTTGGATAAAACTAGATATTCGGGAAACGTGTCAGTGGGTCGTTTTTTTTTTATTTCACTGGGAAACAAGATATCACTTTCGGAAAAATCGACCTGCCACAACCAAGGACGTTTCCGGGTAATAATCACGAGATAGACACGATGTCATTACAAACACGGACTGTCCGACACATTTTACGCGTCCATTAATTATTTTGGGACTGATAACTTGACGGGAAAAATAAGTAGTCTGGGAGAATGGTGGAGGAGAATCTCGGGCAATTTCCTCGCTTCTGAAGTCGTAATTCAAGATGGCCGACTCAAGGTTGCCAAGTGCCTTAAACTCACTCGGTGTTCATTACAAGTCTTGCCGATGGTAATGTCAATTTACGGAAGTAAATAACTGCTAAGTCATAGAGATAGGTGTAACCGATACGTTGCTAGAAGTGCCTTAAACGAATAGACGACTTCCAAAGTACTTAGACTAGCGTTCTTCTTTTTTTTTTTTTCCCGGTTGAAGTGAAGTGTTTGACGAGTTGCACTGCTCTTAGCGGCCTGTGGATAGGGCCGATTTTCACTCCTCCTTAAAAAGAAAAAAAAAAAAGAAAAGAAAAAAGATAATGAACCGAGCGCGTTCTCGAAGGCGGCGAAGACGGTTCATGAACCTTTACCTTTAAGGAATGGAGAAGAATCTTTGCTATTAAACGGTACGATTAAACCAATCTTCAGTTGTCAGGCGACATTTTTTATTATTTTACGCTGGTCTCCACTCAACCCCTACCCGTCCATCCTCTTATCCGAACCAATCCTTTTTATGATTACGTTAACGTAGGTTTTTCGTCTAATCGACAAGGGATACTCGAAGGGGACTGAATTTTTTTACCGTGCCATATTAATTGTAATTATTAAGCGACCGTACGTCGATCCTTAACGACGGCGTATAGACCGTTCTCTTCGACGATCACAACCCCCCCCCCCCCCCCCCCCCAGTTTTCTGACACGCAAAACATTAACGGATGTGCCAACTAATTTCGTGTACATGTCATCGTCTAACTCTCTCATGAGAAAATTTTCATTTGTGAAATTCAATTGACGAGAAGCCTCGATGTCCATGACATTTTCCTTGTAAGCTCAGGATATTAGATATGGGGTCTCTTGCCGAACAGCGTGCGGCTCGGTTCTCGTTGTTAACCGCCGGTCTCCTCGAAGGATCCTTTTCTTTCTCTATTCTTTCGTAAGGAACACGCGGTCAGAGGACGCCGCAGTGTTAACACTATCTAAGGCGACGCCAAAGAAACGTTTGGACTCTCGACAAGGGACAGCATCGCTGAAAAATGAATAATCTTGCTTTTACTGCAGTAACAATTGCACTAACAGCAAAATTAGCCCTATCGGGCGTGGATGTAATTACTCACGTGCTTTTTAAAAAAAAAGTGAGAAAAAGAATGTTCGCTAAATTGGCAAATGAGTCCGTAATAACGGCAACAAAAAAAAAATTATTGTCACTCGATGAAGTAAGCGATTCGGTTTCTTGCGGCCAGAAAAGTCTATCGCAACCGTGAATACAATTTGTGTTGTTCCAGGAAAGTAATAGGATATTTTTTTGTTTTTAATTTCTCTTTTGTGGTCCATACAGGAAAGAGATTTTTGGCAAAAATCTTTCTTGGCTCGTTCTCGCCTGGCATTTATATTCGCCGAAGCGAGTAAAAAAAAAAAGAAAAATTCATTTCCTGCGACTGTGAATTATTTTTTCAATGGGTAGTCAAGGACCCAGCGGGGGAACGATCGCACCTGTCGGTCACCTTCTCCGAATTGAATTTTGAAATGAAAATTTCTGCATGTTGCATCTAGATACACACGAGTCAAGGGGAGGTTCAAGCTTTGGCGGAAGTCGCGGGCAGCACTGAGGGCGCCAGCGTGGCCGTAGACTTGAACAGCGTGACCGAGGCGACCTTAGGTCAAGACGGTCAGATTATACTCACGGGAGAAGACGGACACGGTAAAACTGTTTTCTATAGGCTCTGCACCGTCGCCGGCCAGGAACTGCTCGAGCAGTGAGATTGGCGAGATCTCAAGACCCTAGAGAGAGTCCTTTCTGCATGTCGCGAGCCGTGGATCCGCCACATTAGGAACCACCCGAGTGTCTCACCTCGTTCCTCGCTTGGACCCCGAAGAGACCCCGAAGAGACCCCCAAGGGGACGATTCTGTAACTCGAATCCAGCGAAGGTGCTAAAAATGAACACCTCCCGCGAGTTGTAACATTTACTGTGGTGAAAATGTGAGATACTTCGCGTGAGACTATTCCACCAGAAATTTCGTGTCGAATTTCGTAGTTGAATTGATTCGCTTTTAGATATCGTTAAAACAGAATGAAAGATAAAAGATACGTATTTCTTTTTTATAGGCGGGATAACACTTTAACGGGGTAAAATAGCCCCTCGAAAGTGGGGTATCGAGCGGTCTCATTCTTTCACATATGTAAACGTAGTATTTTAGGAAGAAACCACTTGAAATATTTGTCACAATGAGAAATCGCCCGGAAAGATTACGTTAATATATGCGGAACTTTTATTTTTCAGTCTGTCTTATAATATTCTAATGCGAATCGGTTCGGCGAGGGGCACCGGAAATACCTTCCTTGTCGATCTGGAGATTTCACATTTTCACTCGGAGGATATGGGATCGGGTAAATAAATTCACGTGAGGTGACAGTGCGAGATGTGAGCACTCTCGCAAAATATACAGAATCGATCTTCAGGTCTCGCCGGGATCCAGGTCTCCTTCTCATTCTTGTATATACAAAACACGCGCTCGATGACGCCTCCTTGTCATTCTTGTATATACGAAAAACGCGCTCAATGACGAAAAGGGTGGTTTCCTAGACAACGAGTTTCCTAGCATCCTCGAGGATCGTCGAGGACGTGCAAGGATCCTCGCGCGACGTCAGGGATGGGCAAAGTGTTACTCGCGGGGAGGGTCGGTGCTCGATGTTTTTTTTTCTCTCGTTCTCAACCCTTTCGCCGCCAAGTTTTAACAGATTTAACACAGGTGAAATTCAGGAACGTGTGCAAGCTATAATTGCCTAAACGCTTAAATTAGACGCGTTTAACCTTCATGTCTTCTTCTAGTCCATGCTATCTATCGCCGATTTTCCAATTTCTCTTATACCTCTCCGCTGTTTTTAATTAATTGTACATTGTTCACACAAATTGTCGGTAGTATGTCCCATTACAACAGGGAGAAAAAATGATTAGTTGACTGAAAGAAATATATACCGTTGACGTATATATTGTTGCCTATATCGTGCACAACCGTAAGAAACAATGTTGTTGATAAGAGAAATTGATATTATTAATTTAAACGAATTTACTTTACTCAATCTGACATCCCTTTGGACGTAATCGATCGCAGGATTTTGTTGTCACATATTTCTTTGTGTCAACCAACTTTTTTTTTTCTTTTTCTCACGGGTTCATATGACTTTGTTGACGGTAAACGGTGTGGAAATTGAGGAAGACAAGAAGGCGAGGGGACATTCACTCAAGAAACCGTGGATTATAACGCTGGAAATCGCAAGCAGAAATCACTGGAAAAGTTTTATTATTATTTTGACGTTTCGATATATATATAATGACACTTTCGCAACACCCTTAAGTGCTCCAAATTTCCACCCATGGTTTTGATTTCGAAGGCGAGGGACCGAGAAACTGCCTGCTTCTTTAGCAGATTCTTTTAAATACAAGGAAGATGCCGACACGATTTTTCGGGATCTACCAATAGATTTTATATATGTTTTTTGAAATGTGAAAGGGTTAATTCGAGCTTCCCTCCTCTCACGAGTCGTCGACACGAGTCTCCCGCGCGTTCTCTCGCACCCTTTTTGCATGGTAATTAGTTGTCGTAGTTGAGATCGATGGAAAGTCTCTTCGCACGATACCGAGCACTCTCTGTATCCAGTTAGCGTTCGTGTCTGCACGTAACACCGTGGGGCACCATGGTATCGTCCAATCGCTCGATTACAACCGTTGAATGGCACTTTGCTCGCCCTTGCACGAGGCCGAGGAACCCGTCGACGCGAAACCGAGGCCGAAGCTCCTACATCTCGTCGAAGACGAGCGAAGAATTGCCGAGCATCGTGTGACACTATCACGAGGACTTGTGATTAACTCTTTCCCGCGTGTACGTTCCCCGATAACGCGCCGACCGGTGATTAGCGATTTTAATTTTGCCTGTACATACTGCACTGTATACAAAAAGTCCCGTGGATCATGATGTACAAAGTGTGCCGAGGAAGAGACTAGGCACCCTAAACGAGCCTGATCGACTTTATGTAAATACGTCTGCCCTTTTAATTTAACGCTTTCCTTTGTATACAGCGCATGTATACGTTTCGCGCGCGAGGGAGGACATTTAAGGTGATGTGAAAGTGGCGTCGAAGAGGTCGTTTATGAAACTTTTCTCCAAACAGGACCTCTCGAATCGTTCCAAACTTTACAGCGTGAATGTGGAGGCTATACGAAAGGTCCCGACCCCCGTGAAGTTCCAATTTTTGCTTTTTTTTTAAATTTGTTTATAGATGATTTTTAATGTTTTGTAAAATATGGAATTTCATGGGCGTCGGGACATTTCTTATTGCCTCCATGTTCACGTTGTAAAGTTTGAAACTATTCGGTACACCCAGTTCGGAGAGAAGTTGCATAAACGGTTAACCGTTCGGATGTTGCTTTCGAGTCGCCTTAAGGGACGAAGAGGCGGCTCTACGGGCGCCCTTAACGATTTCATTTGGAGCATTTCCCCGCCAGCTTTGCGGACAAGAGTTCTCTCGCATATGCTGAAGCGACTCGTCGATTCTTCGTCTTAAGGCTTGGCAAAGGCAAAAATCATGCGAAGGGGCGTCCTCGGTCCTAAGATCCCGGAGGACGCCCGTCCCTCATTTTACCATTAGCGGTAATGTTATTATGTTACTACTATTATTATTAATTATTAATTATTACTACCGATTAATTTACCTTACTCTTAAGCGGAGAGAAGAGAATAAACTGTACATACACATAGTATCTTTTCTGTTGACGTTTTTTATTGTTTTTTCAGTACCGGCTGTTTTTCGTAGGCTTTTTATTTCTCGCACGGCGAGCAGGTCCTCGCGCGCGGCCTCGCGGAAGAAGGGGGTTTGTCATTCAATTACGGTTGTAATTGAGTAATCAGGTCGGATTATGTCGGTCCCGAATGGGAAGGTGAGACACGGGCGTGATAAATATGAGCCGAGCCCCCGATGTCGCGCGTGCCCTCACATAGTAAGTATATTCATTTTTCTATATGGCAGCCCGACGCGGTTGCTCCGGCTTCAGTGTGGTAAGGTTAAGGCGATGCGAAAGGGGCCTCCAAGGGGTTTCGTTAATGAACCTTTCCTTCGAACTGGATGTACCGAATCGTTTGAAATGGCGGCCCTAAGCAAGGTCCCGACATACATAGAATTCGATTTTGTAAATCTTTATTATAAACCTTGAAAATTGTTTATAAAAATGGAATTTCCTGGCTATCGAGACCTTTCTTAGAGTCTCTATATTATCGTGGTGAGATTTCAAACGATTCGGTTCACCCAGTTCGGAGAAAAGTTACCTAAATGGTTGACCTCCCAGATGCCGCTTTCACGTCGCCTTAAAGGGGGGGGCGCAGCCACGTGCCTCTTCCCTTCCGGCGAAGGCCATGAAGAAGAGGCACTGGAGAGAAAGCATGGACAAGAGTTGGGATAGAAGGTGACTTGGTGATCTTGGTGTTGCAGGGTATCCGGTTTCCGTGTCCGGGGTGATCACCGTCCCGGTGTCGGCCAGCATGTACCAAACCATGGTGGCGAACATCCAGAGCGATGGCACCATGCAAGTCGTCACGCCCATGGTCCAGGTGCCCAAGGTCGAGCCCGGAAACGGTGAGACCAGCATCGAGGCCGTCACTATTCAAGGCCACCCCATGACCATGATCAACGCTGCTGGCGAGCACCAGGTCCTCCAGGTTATCAGCCTCAAGGATGCCAATGTGCTCACCAAGGCCATGCAGGCTGAAGTCGTCAAGGACGAGGACAGTCAGCAGCAGCAGACCGTCTCGAGTCCGGAGTAAGGAGGTCCTTAATGTCGAACGAGGACCTGGGTTCTCTGGAGTCCTTGGACCCTTCCGGGTCCTGCCAGGACCCTGCCCAAGGCCGCAGGCCTGACTCGATCTTGTCTCTTTCAAGGGTGCGCGCCCGTGCACCCAAAGACACCTCCGATCGGCTAGACTCGGCGGTTCTGTCTTCGCGTCGTCGTGTGCTAGTTTCTTTCTTTTTTTTCCCCTTTCCTTTCTGACTGTCGTGACGATTTAGGGATGTTTTCTGTGTTTTCGTAACTGAGGAAAAGAGAGCGTGGTGGAGGAAGTAGGGAGACAATGGTCCTCACTACGGGGCACTGGTCGCCCTCTTTTCGAGGGTTCTTCGAGTTTTTCTTCCTTCCTTATAGAAGAAGTCGGCCATGGCGAAAGCACCGGTGCGAGTCTTCCATTGCTCGTGCTTGTACCTCGTTTTTAAGGTCGAAAGACTTCTTTCAGCCGTTTAAATGATACAGATTATTGATGAATCTTAAGGTGATGCGAAAGTGGCGTTAGAGGTCTCGTTTGTGAAACTTTTCTCCGAAGTGGATCTACCAGAATCTTTGCAAATCTTACAACGTGAACGTGGAGGCTATAAGGGAGGTCCTCAACACCCGTAAAATTTTAATTTCTTAAAAATTTGTTTAGAAATATGCTTTACATTTTTTTTTTATAGATAATGAAATTTCATGGCTGTCCGAATCTTCCTTATAGTCCCTGTATTAACATTGCAGAGTTTGAAACGATTCGGTACATCCAGTTCGGAGAAAATTTTCACGAACGATTGACTCCTCGGATGCCACTTTCATATCCCCTTAATGCTAAGATTGAGACACGAGTGTAGACCTAAGGCTCAATGCGTGTTCTAGATTTGCACATTAACATGTTTTGGATCGGTTATATATATATATACACATATCGACACGTGAAGATATTTATAAAACTTTTCTCAAAACTGGGTGCACCAAATGATCTGAAACTTTAACCCGTGATTATGGAGGTCCTAATGATTGTCTTGAAACTCGGGAAATTTCAAATAGAGTCGCAACGCGTCCAATTCACGCATCGGGTCTAAGGAAGAGGTGCGACCAGTCCTGGATGTTTAACTCGTTGGATTAGAATGTAACCATGTTTGTATGATTATCCCGGGGCAGATGAGTAGAATCAATTTGGATCTGACTGCCTTCTTAGGTATTTTGCTGATTGTTGTAAGTAACGAATCCCTCGAATATTTTATATGTTATATTTATTATTATTACTCTATTATATCGTGTTTAATGTTATACTTTGATCTAGTCCTAGGTAGAGGGACCGGAAAACCTGAAACGAACTTACGGAACCTTTACGTTTACACGCTCTTGATGATTATTTTTACGGTTATTTATTGCCGTGGGAGGGAGAGGGCGCAAATCTCATGGTTTAATCGAAAGGGTCGAAGCCGGAACGATGGTAACGTGAATCACGTTAAATAGACTCCGTCGTTACTTACGAGGGTTCGGAAATTCTACCTGGATTAATCTCCGGATTATCCGACGCTTTTATACGTGATTCGTTACTTTCCTTCTGTAGCCAAGTCGTGCACTCTTTCGTTTTTACAGAAGGGCCAAGTCAAGATATGGTTGTCCACTCTTGTCATTTTTCTTTTAGTGAAAACAACTCGGCCTAAAAGATTTCGGAGTGTACGCGTATGTTTCTTTTCTTTTTTTTTTCTCCAAAAACTTCACGTCGTGTCACGTGAGAGACTAGTCAGTGTAGTGAGGAATAGTGTATGCGTTGACGGACAGTAATTACGCTGTCGATAATTTTCTTTTCTTTTCTTTTTTTTATGCTCTTAAGTTACCGTACAAGTCGGCTGGAGTCGCGAGTAACTTTCCGGACCTTCAGGACCCTAATTTCAGAAGCCTACTCGACCGAAGCAGAAATTCCACCAGTCATGTATAGTCGGAGAGTCATGGATGAGTTTTGAACTCGTACTTCCGATTGGGTATAGTAGGCTTACGGGAAAGTTCACAGAAAAGTAGAATTCTAGAGGAGCAAGTCGTGTCCCCCGCTGTGTCGAAGTTCATTGCATTCTTCCTTTACAGTGAGATTTTTCATCCATGATGGGACTTCTCATCTGTAATGAAATATTTCCTCTATGGTGAGATTATCATTACCAGTCGATCTTCGATTCTTAGGCATAGGAAATGAAAGAAAAAAAAATCATCGTGTCCAGTTTCTCGTTTTACATGTGAAAAAGCGTCATCGAGACGAAGACAGAGGAAGGGAAGCGATTCGTTCCTGCAGGAGCTACTCCGATCTGCAGAATTTTGATCTTCGACAAGTCTAGGGGTATTATCGTTTAAGCTCTTCACCGCGATCACGTGTAACTATTGCAATTCGTTTTACAACTCCCCGCGGGGGGAGGATTAAGTATTTCTGACGGGTACAAATAAGCTAAGGTGTAACTTTTTGAGAAATCAAACGTACGGACTCGAGGGCTCGAGTGCACACCACACGAGGACGTAGCCGCACTCTCCGTTGCGTTGATCTTGCAATTATTTACATGTAGAGAAATCCCGTGTTTGGTCTGCTCCGTAAAAAGGCGCGTCCACGCTCTAGCGCGCGGCATGTAAAAATAAGCCAGACTCCCTATTTTTTCCTTAAATTTTTCTACGGCACTTTTGAACGAGCGTAACGAAACGAGACGCGGCGGAGGCCCGTTTTCGGGGCCCCATGACGGACATTGCGATTTTGATATTGAATTTCGAGGGGTTCGATTCGCGCGTCGGTCCGCCGACTGTTCGGAGAAGACCAAACGCTTCGTTTCCGGGGAGAAGCGGGGGTATACCTCCGTTCCCGAGCAGTATCCTCCATGCATTTAAGCACAGAGTCATTTTTATACATAGGCACGTGTCCCTGAAATCCAGGGGTAGCAAAGTCTCATTTTTCCTCTTCTGCGTGCAAGCTTGTTTCAATGTTGCGGAATGGGCTCTCTCCTTCGAGGGAGTCTTATCTTCCTGGTATTGCCCTCCGAAGGCGCTTCGAAGGTGTTCAGTTTCTCTTCGAAGTCCATCGAAGCTGTTCGTAACACCTTCTTCCACCAGATATCTTGGACGAAAAGATACGTAACCTTGAAACAATAGACTGCCGTCGTAACAGATACCAAAAATGTTTTTATATTATATATAAATATATATATATAGAGAGAGAGAGAAAGAGAGAGAGAGCGAGCGAGAGAGAGATAGAGAGAGAAAGAGTAGTCCAGTTAAACGAGTGTCATTGTGGAGAATCAAGTGAAAGAGAGCGAGCGAGAATTTAGGAACGAGTTGTTGTGTTATCTCGAGATCATGTCCCCTGAGAGCATAATATTATACATATTAATATTTATACGTAGTACCGTATTAAGTATTATTTTTGAGAGACAGACACCCCCGATTAAGTAATTCATCATAATCATTAGTCAGGTGTCGATCCAATTGGATCTCGGAGGCGTAAACTACAGAGAGTATGATACCAAAGTGTTTCAAACCGGTTACTTTCTACGATTAAAAGCCACCAATGCAATTTCTGGTGTCTATCTCTGTTTTGGTTCCTTTTTAATTTATAATGAGAATGAGGAGTGAATTGCATCGAACGACGTGCGAAGGTCAGGATATATGTATATGCGTAAATACATGTATAAAACATTGTATACGTATATTCTGGAGTACCATTCTAGATCGTTAGAAGCATATGTGTATATGATCTTATCGCTGTGTATCATGTAATGTAACTTGTAAATATGTTGTCGTTGTGTCACCTTTCTGCTTTGGTTACTTTTTTGGTGTAAAAAGTAAACTAAATCACTGAGAAATCTTAGAGAAGACGCAAGAGGTGGGTAGATGAAGAAAACTATTAAAATACAGTACGTACATATCGGCCGATTCCCTTGTCCTTGACTTTTACCTAAACATTGGAATCTTGAGATGTCGCTAAGGTTCTGGATCGCTTGCCCTGCATGGAAAATGGTTGGAACGTTTTAATGAATGTGTTTATTTAAATTATGAACAACATATACCTAGTTCGTACATTAATGAACTTAATGCAAAGTGTAGAATTTAACTAGATTGCAGTGACGAGTTCTTGATGGTATCAAGCTTACGACCGACTGGCTCCAATTTAATGGATGTCGTAAACAGACTGAAGAGCTAATTCGGGCTTGTCATAGCCCAACTCTTCGGGAGTATTGATACCCAGTTCATCCAATGTCGGTCTTATCTCTTGCAGGATGTAAGGATAGATCACTTTCACTTCGTTTCCACACTTTTCCTTGATGGATTCCAAGAATCGAATGGTAAGTGCGAAATCGTTTAATCGCCGGCAGGCTCTTAATGCTGCGCAAATGATCTTGGGTTCGGGAATCAGATCCATACCTAAAAAGAGAAACAGCTTGTAAGTATCGCCGTGCCGTTAGCTAATTATAAGTTTAAATCTTATTAAAAAAGATCTGCCAAAATACTGAGATGTTGATAGATTATTATAGTCCGTTTTAATGATAATTTCGAATTATATGAAATTTATTTTGCGCCTGTCAAAGGGACTCAAGGCGGTGGTGCCGGTTTTGCCCTTTACACCATGACGATGTAGAGGAATTGCTAACATCTCTGCTAAAGAGTGACATAAAACCGAGTAATTAATAAATTTTATTTACCAGCCAGGTCATTCATTGCTTTTCGAATTTCCCAGTGATCGATGTCCTTGCGATTGAAGAAGTTCTCCATCCTGGTGTCGAATTCTTCATCGGTCTCGGTGGGGCCGTGAGAAGCTCTGGAGTTTACGACGGCGACAGTCGTCGTGCGCTGCAGGAGATTATGTCGGAGAGCCGCTCCAGCTCGTCCAGCCACAACACGCAGCATTGTCGCTTCTTCTGGTTGAAGTTATCGTAAAACCGACAGGAACTGCTCGCAGCTCTCAACTTCAACCCTGTTGCGTAAACGACGAAGGACGATGACCACACGACGACGGAAATAGGAAACTCGAGTCAAAAGGTATAGTAGAGAGCAGAAATAAGTTGGGAGATTGCTCACGGACAGGATCGCGTTCTGTGCTGCCTCCCGGTGGAGGATGAGGACGACTACCGCACTTGACACCAGGTCTTGGTCTATCGCGCAATCATTTGCGCAGCCATCGTAAAAAGGTTAATGTCCGATCACTCCGCGAGTTGGTCATCTAGTACATTCGTTATTCCATGGCACGAGTCAGGGCACCTGGGGCGGCTGGTGTGCGGTGCAATTGTTACAGACAGTTACAGGTCACTTGTACAAAGTTTCCTGTTTTTTTTCGTACGATCCTCGTACGCGAAGCTCGTCAAGCTGTGGCCACAACCGCAAACCATGGGGTCAAAAAAGCACAAAAAACACAAACGGGAAAGGATCGAAGGTGAGAAGAGAAGTAGAGAGTTAAAGGGAGTGCTGCTCGGTCGAACGGGTGCGAACGGGCGGCGTTCGACGCCACCGCGGCATCGCGGCGCGATACGTATCCGGCGGAATATTAATTGAAAAAGCGTTCACCAGTTTGTTACGGCGGTTCGGGTAATAGTACTTCCTACGAGATAATCTTTGTATCAATCATGGGCTTTGCTCCGTTCCTCATGCTCCTTTAATTACGAGGGACTCGAACCGCAATCGCCGCCGTATCTAAGGTTTCATTACTCTTTTTTTATGCGTACGTTCAACCAGGTCTCATTATTCGCGTCGCTCGATCGTGCGTTTCATTCTTTGACACCTGTTTCGAGTGATACGGTGAAGCACGGGCAAGCCAGTGATTAGCTTTATTGACGAAGTGTCTTTTTTTTTCAGAATGTAATATTGCCGATAGAGCATCGTTCATTCATTGTTTGGAGATTCGAATAAAGATAGCAAGGGGACGAGCCTCTAAGTAGTCCGTATCGTTCCTACGGCGTGCGTCCAGGGAGACTCCTTCGGAAGGGACGAGACGGCGTCCTTCGAACGAGCGATTCTTCCCTTTTACTATCTTGCTTCGAGTCTTCCTTGTACTCATAGTTTAATGATGCGCAGGAACGTTGACTACGTTTTCACCATGGACGAACTGAGAATGAGGTTGGAGTAAAATCGAGGTGGATTCAAAAGTAGAGACGAAGTTCCGCAGCGACGGGTGCGACGTGGAAGTAAGTGGGCCGCAACTGCGGATTCTGATCGGTCGCACGACGGAAACTGGCTACGCTCACGAAACGACTCCGTCGTCCCGAGTCTCCTCGGATGTATCGTCGTCTGGAATCGGTCGAAGCTTTCCATGAAATGAAGCGAACGTAGTTAGGTTAGAACTAGCCAAGGCTCTTAGGCGCCTGTCATCGCGCATTAATTTACACGCATGAGCAACGCATAATTATCCGTACAAGAACGCCATCCGATCAATGCGATCTCCTAGTTATATTCTCGGTGCGTACGGCGCTTGCGAAAGATTTCTCGTTCCGATTTTCACATTCTCATACCAAACCGTCCCATTCGACGAGGACATTTCCGCAAATGCTCGTTTCGTACCGCTCGGAAAGTGCTTCGATCTCGCTTTCAGTTCGTCGAATGTGAAAACAAGGTAACTCGCGGGCGCACTCCGTCGAAAAGCTTGTCTGATTTGTTCCGTCGTGGAGTAGACCGAGACCCCTTGATCCCGGTTAGTCCCCTAAACGATTCGTCCGTTGAGATCGCGTCGCGTCCCCCTCTTGCATGAACCAAAGTGGAACGGGCCACGCCAAGCTCTGTCCGATGCTTCGACGCTTCGCCCTGTTGAAGGTGGCTACACGCGTTATGATAAATTGTAGCGATTAACAATCCAAGCATTTAAGTCGAGTTTCTTCGTGGCGTCAAGTCAACATACACAAATTTGTACGGGTTTGTCGCAACGATTTGTAGGGTGTAGCCACCATAACCTCTCCTCCGGAGACCCTTCGGAGGGAATCTGACAGAAGAAACCGAGTTTCAGAAACTTCGCAGCAGTTTTTGTATTTCATCTCTCTCTCAAATTTAAAACCTACCAAGAAAGATTCATGACCGTTCTGTCAGATTCTTGACGAAGAGATCCTGGTTTCGCAGGATGTCGGAGGACATGTCATAATCAAATGTGTCCTGCAGACGAACGATACCCGACGGCGACGATTGGGGAGAAGCCGCCGAGCCTGAAGCTGATCCTGAAGGTCGGCAACTGTGGCACGCCTGAGTCTCCCGGTTACGAGTCACCTAATCCCACCACTACGGCGTCGACGACGACGTCGACGACGGGGGCGACGCTCTTGACCGACCATCCCGCAGCAACGCTGGCCGCCGCGATGCCGAACGCGGGGGCAGCGGCCATGCTGTCCCACCGCTATCAAGGTAGATTACCCTAACACCGTAAAGGGACCTTTTCACTGCATTGTTACATAATTGCTATTTCCTTCTTTATGATCTCCATAAACACGTATTAAAGTTTCAAATTATTCGGTGCACCCAGTTTGGAGAAAAGTTTTATAATTATTTTTACGTTTTGTGTATATTGAACAACATATCGCCTTAAGAGTGCTATTTTTGGAAATGTCGAGGCGNATATATATATATAGAATATCTCTTTCATATCACCTTAATACCTTAATTGGTACCGCCCTGCCCACGTAACGAGAATCACTCTTCCCCAGGTATGGAGTACTCCCTCGCCCCCACGGAATCCGAGTACGACCGCTACATGGGCCACAAGAAGCTGAAGAAGAAGAAGAAGAAGAAGGACAAGCGACACAAGCATCACAAGGAGAAGAAGCGACGCCGGGAGGAGTCGAGCCAGGAGTCGGTAGGTGACGCAGCAGATGCAGAAGACGGCGTCGTGCCGACCACGCCTGCGCCGGTTTCGGGGCCAACCCCGATCCCAATGGTAGCGACGGTGACGACGCCGGTGGTGCCAGAGACGGCCAAGAAGCAGCCACCCCTGGAGGCCGCAGCAGCGGGTCCGGGTAGCGGTCTCTCGCCGCACCGCGAGCCTCGCACCTGCGTCCTCAGGAAGATCGCCGAGCGCACCCCTCTCCAGAGGTTGCTGGAGCACCTGCTGAGGTCTCTGGAGAAGCGCGACCCCCAACAATTCTTCGCCTGGCCCGTGACCGACAACATCGCTCCCGGGTACTCGCAGATCATCGCCAACCCGATGGACTTCAGCACGATCAAGCAGAAGATCGACGAGAACGCGTACCGCAACCTGACCGAGTTCGTTGATGACTTTAAACTGATGTGCGACAACGCGACGACCTACAACCATCCGGACACGATCTACTTCAAGGCGGCGAAGAAGCTGCTACACGTGGGCCTGAAGATGATCACCCCGGAGAAGCTGGCCCAGCTCAGGCCGGTCTTGACGTATATGCGCGACATCTCGAGAGACGAGCTAGGCTTCGACCTTGGCCTCGAGGACCCTGAGAACTTAGACGGACCCATCCTAACCGAGGAGCAGATCGAGAAGGAACGGGAAAGAGAGGAACGCCACGAGGAAGAGGCTGAAGAGCTGCGCAAGGAGAACCGCAGGAAGATACGTTTAGCTGGTCTTGGAAAATTTGAGGCCATCCCTGACGACATGACCCCTGAAGAGATCCTGAGCCAGGCAAGGGGCGCCGCCAAGACGGCCGCGGATAAATTAACCCTAAAGAGGCTGGATTCCAAGATGGGATTCTTGCGCCAGAAGAAGGACGGCACCACCAGTCTGCAGATTATCGTTCCAGGTGACGGGGTCATCCCGGGGACCAACCAGAGGCCCGTGTCCTTGGGACAGCTCATCGGCAAGCTGAACCACGGGACCGGGGCTTTGGCAGGGTTCCGGGAGGACCGGCGCAACATGTCCAAACCGGTGAAGCCGCTTTATTACGGCGCCTTCGGATCCTACGCTCCCAGCTACGACTCGACCTTCGCCAATCTCACCAAGGACGAGACCGACCTCGTTTACCAAACCTACGGCGACGAGACCGCCGTCCAGTACGCCGAGTCCATCCTCGACTTCGCCAAGGACTGCGACTACACCCTGACCATGGTCGACGACCTCCTGGACATCCTCACCGGCGGGGACCACCGCAAGACGAAGAAGCTTCTTGAGGAGAAGAGGCGCCTCCGTGAGGAGGAGGAGAAGATCGAACACCTGCTGGAGAAGCCCCCCAGGGATGCCGATCGCAACCAGAAGCTCGACAAAGTCAAGGTTGACGTGGACCAGCTGAAGACCCTGTCGGAGTTTGGGATCGACGTCAACTTCTTGGACAATATCGGTATGTTCTCTCTCTATCCTGGGTCCTTGGGTTATCCTCTGTTTCTAATTCTTTCCTTTTCTTCTTGTAGAGGAGGAACTCAAGCTGAGCGAAGAGCGGTTAGCTTTGCAGAACAGGCTGGACGACACCTCGCAGATGTTGGGTCGCCTCCGAAGAGCGCAACATGACCGGTTGTCTGCCCCGCCTCCGGCGCATCTCTCGAACGTACCGAAGCCCCAGGAGTCCGAGATGATGCTGGCGGAGAAGATTACCGAGAGTCTTGCGGATATCGCGAAGAAGTTGCCACCCTCGGCTATCGCACCCATCGATGGACTCAGGCGCGCCATGGGCATCGCCACGGTCGGCGCCCAGGAACCGATGGACGTCGACCCGGTTCCATCCACCGATGGCTCGGCGTTGACTCCTAGAACGGATAGGGTGACGCAAAACTTGATGACGACTCAGAGTCCACCGTCCGTTCGAGGGGCCGACCTGTTGGCGACTGCTGGAGCGCCTGGATCATCTGTGGCTGCTGGACCCCAGGGTCAGCAGCAGATCGGTATGGCTGCTCCCGGCCAACAGTCCGTCAGCATGCAAATGGGCTTGGGACACGATCAGAGCAATCCTCTTCTTGGACCAGAGGCCACCTCCGTTGCCGTTCCTGTTGTGGTTTCGGTACCGGTCCCTGTTCCCGTGGTACCCGACCTGGAGTCAGAACTTCGCGAATTCCTCGAGAGCGATCCCACTCTGGGCCACTCGCCTCTCCACGACGACAAGACGCTCGAAGACATTTTGTCCGAGTCTTAGCTGTAAACCCACTAGGTCGAGCTTTATTTATGTGTATACATCGTCGCGGTTACGAGAGGCTGTACATACTTATTACGATCTGTTGATATGATAAGCTTAAAGAGTTCGAGGAATACCAATAAAAATCGTGTCGTCTTTTGCATTTAGGTATTTGGTTTGGTTTGTCTTCTTCATCACTGTTTCAACCAGAGATGAGTTGGGAGATTGCTCACGGAAGGGATCGTGCGATC